AAAGTGACAGTCTAATGTCAGAACCAGCTCTTTTCTATCTAAGGCAAGAAGACCCATTTAGTCCGGTCCAACGGTAGCCTCTCTTGGAAAGGTATGGCGAGGAGCGAGAAGCGGGGAGGGGGGGGGGGCGCCTCGGGCAATGAGCTATTCACTCCTGGTGCGGGCGTCTCCTTGGATGGTCAGAAAGGAGAGGATGAAAAAAACGGTACTAGACTATGGATCAGCAGGCAAAACGCAACAAGTACGGGTAGGCATTGGCTGATGTAGGCGTAGGATTCGCGTTGGGCGGGACCGGACCCTGAGATGATGGCGGGCTGGCAGTTTTGCCATGTATCCGTAAAAGGTGTCGATGAGTGGCCGCCCGCAAATGCCAAATTGGCCTGCGTCAGTGCGGCCTACCGGGTCATGGAAGCCGGAGGTTTGTGCAGTGCATTTCAGGAGGTTAGGTTGGGCCTCCTTTCTGGCTCAATGAGACAATTACGGGCGCTTGTGGTCAGTATGAGTGAATTGGGACTGGAAGGGGGGGAGTAAGTGAAAGAGTGAAAGAGGAAACGCAAACAAACGTGATGGAAGCCAAGGTGAAGAGCCATCGATGATTGAGGAGGGTTTTGCCTGCCCCAGACATGGCGCCCAGATGAATGGTCAAAGAAAGGACCTCCTGTCACAGGTGATGCTGGACGGGGAGTGGGCCGGGGTTTCCCATGCTCGGATTTAGAGTTGAAGCCATGACTCCTGGTTCGTCTGGACTGCCCCACAAGCACGCCCTTCCTTGCCTTGGGCAGTGGGCGCTGAGTGGTGCCTTCCGTGCTTGCTTCCATCCGTTGGGTACGAACTTACCTTGAGATACCTGAGGTACGTCCTCCGGATTGCCTTATGTAAGAAGTCGTGATCTGATACGAACCCTTCCAATGGGATGGGTTGAGGATGTTTGAGGGCAATGGAAGGTTCCCGCCTCACGGAGTACCTTACTCAAATGCCTCCTTACCTACCTATGCTGCAGGTGCACGCTTCCATTCCGGGTGCGGCTTGCCTGGGCCACTGAGCCAGTACCTTATTGATCTTCAGGTTGACCTCGACCTTCTTCAAACACTTGCTTGAGGCGCGACCTGTTCTGTTTCTTTTCCACCTCCCTGCCCGTGCCTCATCGGCGGAGAAACCGCCTCTTGGGTTGAACCGCCTCCAACATGATGGCACATTTGCATCGATGGCTTGTTGACCGTTGCAGCCTCGACCAAACTCTCGGATCTCGATTCCATTCGCCTGGATAGTGTACCCTGGCAAGTCTGCCTTTCAATCGCCCCCAACTCAACTCTATCAAGCCTCCGACCACCATTCTTGAGCTTGTTCTGCCCTCCACATTGTGACACGCATCGACTGGCCACCACATCCATGCGACACGACACCCTTCACGGAGTACTGATCAGGAACCTCGTTGTTAAAGATTCCCCTCGTCTACCTGAGGAGACAGCATTACCTAGGTACTCCTGTCCACGCCATGGTTCCCGGGAGGGATTAGTCAGCCCTCTGTTCTGAATGAGCATCAACTCATAGTAGCAGTCAGGTCGTCTGTTAACTTACGCCATGCCAAGATCCCACACGTTCGATATGACAAAATCGTTCCCGATCTCGTCCGTCCCGCGTCTGGTCAAGCGTCACGACTTGCTGTAGCTGAAAGAAGTCTGCCGCCCAACCAGTAATCACCTGCCACTACCCGACGGCCCTGATCTGTCGCACTCGCCGATAACTCGCAGCAAATATTGCAGCTGCTATTCCAAGCTACCAGGTGTACCACGTACGAAGTACACACCACCTTGACACTTAACTATCGTCTTTGCCAGCCCGGTCGAGACCCCCCGGCTTTCCGGTAACGCAGGCTACGTCCTATCACACCTCGCGTGTCGGCCTGGTTTGCATCCTGCTTCCGATACCAACCCACTCGCTTCTGCCATCCGGCCACGGCTTTGCCTTTCCACTGGTCATTATTCAGAGGAATGCCGCTCAGCCAGGGTGTCACGGAGCTAGCCCAGAAGCCATCCCGTTTGACCCCTGGAAAACGCCATCCTTGAGCACGGTCTATCGGGCGTCCTTGGTGGCGTTGATCCTCCACCCGCGAAGCCGAACCGCCTCCCAGGCGCCGCATCTTATTCTGCATCTGTGGCCTGCGACTTTGCAGCCTACATGCTCCGCTATCCAACACTCAGTCTTTGTTGCGGCCGAAAACAGCTTGAACGGCTCTCTGTCATACCAGGAAACATTTCCAGTTGTCGCCAACCGCCTACATCACCCAGCAGTCAGTCTTCTATGCACATCGACACGCAGGGGGCACAAAACGTCCGATACACAGTGTTCGTATGTACAAGGTCAAGAGCAAAACAAGAATGATTCAATGGGTGCCCGAAAGGTCGGGAACCCTCTCATGGCATCCCCTGCCTGTGGCAGCTCGGAACCGCCATACGCCCGTATCCCTGATGGGTGGTTGCCTACAGGTCAATGGCACCTCCCGCCAGGGTCTACCCCTTCAACTGGATACGCCCACGCCCGACTTGAACCGTCTAATTCTCGCCCGCTTGGGTGCCCTCGTTTCTATAATGTAGCATCTGTTGTACAGGCGTCTCTCAGCAGCAGTCGTGAACACACAAAGGATCGAGATCATGAAACTGGTTTCGTAGCCGTCACGAAGTTTACCAATCTTCAGAACATGTGGACCACAGCCTTGGTCTACCTAGAGCTCTGCGCCTTGGACGACCAACAGCCAGCGCCTGAAAGATCCATGGCATATCACAACGCCCGTTCTAGATTAGTCGGATGAGCGACGCGAGTCTCAATCTCCCGCTTCATTCCCCGAATACGCCGTCTGTTCGAGGTTGCCGGCTGACAAGTCGATCCGAGAGACTGGTCCGAGCAATCATCACTCGAATTTTCAGATGCTGTCCCGCAGACCTGCACATCATCCCAAACCACTTTGCCTTCTTTCAGAAAAAGAAGAATTCGACAGCTTCGAAGGCTTCGGGCTGCTCAGTTGCTCTTTCGAAAGCGATTGCCACAAGTCTCACATTTTCTTTTCGCCTCTCAACCTCGGAGCGGTGAAGTTCGCTAGAAGACACTCCCATGCCGCTCTTGGAGGCTCAGCCAAAGTAAACTCTTGCAGGATAAGGGGTTGGCTTCTCGACCCGGTACACTAGGTATTGCTCCAAGCAAGGAAGCAGACCTCTTGGACGTGGCGCCCATCGCGGAGCGGCTGGTGGCGGATGGATTCCGCAGACTAGGACGCCGCGAAAGTGATAGGGATCATTAGCCTCACGCTCATGACGATCAGCTTGGTCTCAGAGTTGGTGTGGCTCTCTTTTGAGAATCGAAACCCTGCCTCTCGAGCCATGACGGCCAGGAAGCTGTCAGTACTGATTTGCAGCCTTGTCGATCTGCATAGAATCCACCAAATGCATTGTTTCAGGCTCAACGCGTTGGCGCCAGATCATGGCACCAGATGATGGAACTCCGCCTTCCGGAGTTCTTGATGCGACAACAGGCATTGCGGGAATCGCAGGTGCAAGCTGGCCAGACAGCAAGTTTCCCTCGTGACTAACCTTCAGCTTTGCACAGAACAGAATTTTGCGGGCTTGAGTGACCTATCGACGATAATGTGCGGAAGATGAAGCGCGGCTTTGACCTCATTCGTCATCTCGCCCGTCCATCCCGTTCAGCATGCTGTCCAACTGGCATCCGAGCCTGGGTTACACAAGACGGGGCACCAGACCAAAGTAACAAGATGGTTTGCTGCTGGTAGGTAGAAGGATTCCCAGGATCAGTCTACATCAGCATTACGCTAAAATTGGAAACAACACCGATATATCGACTGCAATATCGGCTTTGAAGGTGCTATCAAATGAAGCTCAACCAGTGCCGGCTTTTGCGGTGATCTTCGCATGTTCGGATACACAACCTAACATGAGAATGCCTAGCAGGCAATTCTTATGGCTCGTCAAAAATTCCCGAATAAAGTCAAGGCCATAGTCCGGCTCGAGACTAAGTACGATTTGGGACTAGGCTTCGAATACGCGACTTGCAATGGTTGATAATCTACTAGCTTGACGAGACGTGTGGAGTTGAGCATGGAGAGGAGGAAAAAGCGTGAAAAGCACGCGGCGCCGTGGCAGCCCCAGTGCGGAACTGACACCCTGCACATGCAACCCCCGTCTCCCTCCCGTCTGGGAGAGCAGTGCGACTGGGAAGCTGGTCCAGGGATGATGCATGAGCCTGCCTTGCACAACCCACTGGCGCCACGCCGCGCGCGTGAAAAGCTAGGGACGAGTGAGAATCCCGATGACAGTGAGATGTTGACGCCTCCCGCTTTGGATCTGCGGTAACATCGACGAGGTTTTATAGCTTCAAATAGGGCATGCGAGATGATGGCATACAGCGCGCTTGGTGATGCTCAAGCACAAGGAAAGACTTGGAAAGTATTAGCAACGGCGTTTTCGAGTAAATTGTCTCGGAAGAGCGACTTCTGCTTCAGAGAATCACAACGACCTGAGGAGCAACCCCTGCATACTGGGCAACGGGCTGCAGGCATAATCTGAGCCTCGAGTACTGGCTGATGACTGGTCAACTCGCTTTTAGACCGACCACGGCACAGTTAAGGTATGGACTGTCGGTTGGTGCAGGCCCGAAGCATGCATTCAATGGACCGCTTACGCAACCTCCTTTGTTCTCGAGACGCTTCCTGATGGAGGGCGTGATACATCGTAAGTATGTTCCAAACAAGATCATCACACAGGTCCCCCTCGGAACGGAAGCATATCGATAGAATCCCATTCCCGGCTGGCACGACAAGGTGAGGTCTCGCCCTGGCATGCCCTACACAGCAGTCACAGACACGCAGACGCTGTTCCCCCTTCCGCTGGCATCGTGGCACCATGGCTCATCCTTTAAAATGCTAAGCTGTATGCGTTCCCATGCAGCCGGACCATGCAGTAGTGGCGTACTTAGGTATCGGCTAGTGGATGCACCTGGAAGAGAGGCTAGCGGAGCGAGACACGGCTGGACCCAGTGCAAGGAGATCCCTGGACGCTGCCAATGGAGCGCAGCACTCGCATCTTCGAAAGAGTTGCAGTGAAATGGTTGATGGTTCAGCTGAGGGGTATGGCGGTCTGGGACGCAATGGGCGGTCACCCTCTGGCACGGCTGGGCTTCAGAGAAATCGACGAATTGACCTAACCGAGTCGAAAGGAAGAAGAACAAGAAATTCTAACAGACAAGCGACGACCACGTTTTGGGAGGGAAGCTCAATGCAACCCAGGTCCAAGGGCAGAGAGGGAGATAACAGCTTGGCCCAACACAGCACAGCACAGCACATCAAACAATATCCAGCAGATGACATCGGTTGGGTCTGGACGGCAGCAGAACAAGCACGAGCAAGTTTGGCGGCAGGTAACAAATGTCGGGGAGGAAATTCGTCGAGGGCAAATAATAAGGAAGTGGTGAGGTTGTAAGGATTGCAACCGAAAGTCTAGACCGACAATCCCACAGCTCAGTCTTCCTCTAGTATCCGAACTCTTTCTTTTTCCGATTTTGGCAAATGAAGCCAGCGTCTGTGCCAATCGGCAGTCGTTGAAGAGGTGTTTACAGATACCTAGTTGCTCAACTGGGTGCGAATGCAGACACCAAGCAGCACAGGAGAGACTACTGCGTAACTTGGGCCCTATATCACACGCGACGGTGCATGGAGCACATTGCGCGTCGTGCCATTGCGGTGGAAAGAGTGAAAAAGCTGCAGCTCGCAGCAGGTGAACGGGCTTGACAACCTGTCATGGACACATGTACATGGCCACGAGCCATTGCGCGCCCAGATCAGATGGCACCGGACTGGGGGTTCGTAAGAATTGTCCGAGCTCTCGATCAGGAACGGAACTGTGGGCCATCTTCGACCCTTGGGAACGGCGAACTTGGGTCACTGGGGACTGGGTGAGCAACCCATAAGAAACTAAACAGACCAGAGATCCGACTCTAGGTGTTCCTACGCGGCACAACGGATGGGCACTGGGCAGGTAGCATGGGCAAACAAGCCTGGTACCCTGGCGCGAGCGCCCTGGAAGATTCTTAGATGTTTGGTACGCAGCATTCGTACGGATACAGAGCCGGGGGTTCGAGGCAAGGATGCTCTTGCACAATGCACAGGATTGCTGCTAGACCTCGTCCCCGGCACGTTGGCGGGGAATTTGATTAACCACGGCTTCAATGGAGGTACGGATACGGACTCACAGATGCGGAGTCTCTGACAGGACCCGTATCACTTCCGTGCCGGTCTGCTCGGTGCTCGTCAATAGCCAAGTGCGTGAACGGATACACTCTCCCCATTCATTGGTAAGTCAGGTCAGTTAGGCTGGTGCTGGGATTGCCTGCATAGAGATGATGTATGGGGGTTTGTCACACGGCACGAACACATTAGACCAGTCGGAATGTCATGCTACTGACAACTGTGTGCACAAGCTTCCTTCTTCACGAAGACTGGCTCCCAGCAGCGATGAGCCTGTCCGAGATACTCGTTGAAGCCCAGCAGTATACCTACCTAGATCATCAGGTACGACACCCTTCATGCTCTCCTCCCCCCTCACCTCTCTACAGATAGATGAAAGGGAGATTTCCCCCTCACGTCACGCGCCCTGAAAACCTATCATGAACAAGCAAGCCATTGGACTGCGATGTCCAAATTGGAGGGACGCTGGACCACAAGCAAGCAGAGCACATCCGTACACCCATGCACCAGTGTTTGGATGATCATTTTATGTTGGTCCCAGCCGCACGGACGATCTTCAGCGTCACAGACTCCATAGCCGCGTCTCAACGGCGTCCTTCCCCGAGGGCCCTTTCGTGGCCATCTGCAAGAAGCACAGATGGCATTTTGAAGACGTGCCTGGGCGTTCGCCATGCCAAGTGCAGCAAGGTTCATCGTCCGTCGTGTCAATTCATACCGTCTCTTCTGGTGGTGGGGGCTCACGGGGGGCTCGCATATGGGACTGTTGCCCATTGACAAGTACACGAGATCGTGGCGGACAGCATCTAGAGTCTCGACTTGCCGCCAAGATGGCCCTCATCGGGTAGCACGCTACTACGCTCGGAATGTGCACACACACACACACACACACACACACACACACACACAAAGAAAAGCTCATTCACTCAGTCGGGAACCAGTAAGCATTGCATGAATTTCTGGGGGTGGGAGGGGGGGGAAAGCAGTGGGATGCTAACGGGAGAGCAACGCCGCAGTACAGATAGGCATCTGTTGGAGGCAAGCATCAACCACTAATCTCAAGTGGTAGGTATTCTGGTGGAGGGAATAAAAGGGTTGAGCTGATGCAGGACCAGGGTTTGAGCTAGCCCCGAGAAAGATGAGAGCGAGCACACAGTTTCGAGTATTCGATCCACACCCCCCTAGCCATGTCCGAGCTCTTTCATACTGCAGTAGAGAGAGAGAGAGGAAGACAGACGCACGCTATTCGTACACACCCGAACAGACCCAACACTGGGCTGGGCTGACTCTATCCTTGTTCGAAGCAGAAAAGCACATACGTACCGTACTATATGCACTGGCGAACCCGCGCAGACACGACACCACGCTCCTCTTGGATGGTCGCGCGCCCGGAGACAATAGCTCAGGGTGGAGCCCTGCCATACCATGAGCCCAAAGTGCGAATAAGCTGGAGGGGGCCCGCCGGAACAGCAACAACAGGGTTGTGCTGAGTCCTGACCGTAGCTGACGGGGTTTCCCTCCCAGCTCTCGCCAACCCACAGTTCGGCACGAGGGTACAGCTACCGCTCACTTATTGCTTATGCATAAGCTGCGCAAAGGGGACAGCTCACCTAGAAGAGCGAGGGAAGGAAGGTCTCGGCACCGGGATCAAGGAACCCTCTGGCGAGCGACAAAACATTTGGATGAGAATTGCGAGTCCTAACCAAACGAACGCGACGTCGTCGCGATTCTGCGAACCGTGGATCCGTCCCGCAAGGCCGACGTCAGTGCCAATCTCCAGCAGATCATCCCAAGTCTAGCGGTTCCCGGGGGAGAGGGTAAGAACCAGAAAGGTTCGGCTGAAGCACTTCGTCCTGAAAGGATAGGTCCAAGCATTACGTCGCTTGGACAGGAGAGACTAACCTCACTATCCTTAATCTGGCCCGCCGCGGGATGGGGTGTGGGTGAGCAGGACCAGAAGCAGATGGCAGCAGGCAAGCCAAATCTTCCAAGCAAAGCAGGCAGGGCAACGAAAAGCACATGCGACTCGTTGTTGCTCGACTTGGGAAGAAGCCAATCTCAGGGGACAAGGAACACGGGACCCAAGTGTCTGGTGCTGGTGCAAGGATGGAGATGGGATAGGATGGGATGGAGTGCGGTTTGGGGACTCTCACCTGTGCAGCAACGGAGGAAGAACCAGACAGAGAGACGGGCCAGACAGGGTTCCAGCCTCTAGCCAAGTAGCCTCCCCGTTTCTGTATCTCTCATCCTCTTTCAGTTTCTCGCTCTCACAGTTCTCACTCACTTTAGTCTTCCAGTGTCTCTCTGAGTTCTGTCTCTCCGTCTCGGGGCTCTGTCTCTCAATTCACTGCCTCACCCGCCCTGACTACTTGGTACCTGGAACTGTCTCCAAGGCATACCTACCATACCTACATCATCCGTCGTCTCTCTTTCGCCCACGCCACCAATTGCTTCTTTCATCGTTTCTTTTCCGGCTGGCAGGTTGGCCCCTCCTCTCTGTCCTCCTGTCCTTTCCACCCCCTAAGCTGGTTGAAAAATGGCCGACTGAACGATGACAGACCTGGCTGGAACACCAGACGACTTCTCACCCCCAATCGCCATTCCCAATCCAGCTCGGGCTTCTACGCTTATGACCACACCCACGCCCCTGGATCGAGGATTTCTCTGTTTCTCTGCCCACTCATCTTCCCTCACACCCTCACCCCCTTCTTGTCCTCACACCTCCTCGTCTGTGTGTTTCCCCAAAGCAAGGAGCCTCGCGCGCTCCTGATACCTACTTGATCCACGCCGGCAAGAGAGGCTGCTGTCTTCAGTCTGGCTCATCCATCAATGAAGTAGGTATTAACTTTTAATCTCCAGAGAGGAGAGAGCGAGTGAGCCAGCCAGCGGCTACCTTTGAGCACCCGCACCCCCTTCTTCAGGAGCCCCAAGCTCACCCGTCCCGGCAGCCTGCTTGTGTTCCTTGGACCTTTAACGCCCAGACCTCGTTGTCCCAAGCCCCAGGAGGGACAGTCAAAAGACGCCACTGTTGCCTTTCTCCCAGGCAGGGTAAGACCCTAAAGTACATGCTTGGGGTACCTCAACTATCTCACTGCCTTACAGACAAACCAAGTGAGCGAGCGAGCGAGTGACTACTGCTCTCCTCTTCTGCATCTTGACTCTTCTTCCGGCTGGGACTTGACGAAAGTCGGGCGGGTACGGACTGGCACAGAGACAACATAGAGAAGACAGAGACAGGCTCTCAGGAGAGACACTGGAAGCACGAGTTTCTGTCACATCTCCCATCCTGCTTCTTTCTCTCACACTCACACACTATCTCGAGACCGACCGTCTCTACTCCCTTTTGGCTCATCAGACATTCCAAGAGAGTCACTCTTGTTGCAACTAGCAGCATAGCAGAGCAAAGAGGAGCAGCAGACCAGCCAGGACAGGACAGGACGGGGACGGTTCAACCTGAGCATCTATCTGTCCATTCTCGCCGTGTCGTAGGGCAGGCGCTACTCCGTACTTCATAGAACATCTCTTCTCCTGGATTGTCAGACACACAACCCACCCCCGGTACTTGGAGCTGAGGCGCCCAGGGTCCTCCGGTAGCATTTGGTGTTGGACTTTACCCATTCACAAGCCCCCTTCAGCCCTCCCGAGCTAGAGGGCTGGCTGGCCTTGACCTAAGCGCACCTGGTCTAGTGTCCCAAGTCCAAGTCCCGCACCATCAACGAGCTACATATATTCGACAGCCGCCTCTCCACACTGGCAAGGTAGACGGGACTGGACTGGCAACTAAGGCGATCGACGCACGATAACTCCTTTCGACATCTCGCTCGAAGGATAGCTTAAAACCTGCACACAAAGCCTCCTTTCGACCCCGTCCGCCGGGCCTGCCATCTATTTACTCCGAACCCAATCCACCTTTTCCATCAAGCCTTACTCCCAGGGCAGCGTTCCTCTCCTCATCTCAGGGCCCGACAATCCGTACAATACTTGTATACCTGACACTACCTTTCCTGGTTACCTACCTATCCACCTTACCTACCTACCTTGGCTACCTGAGCCGTCCTTCTCACTCTCGTCAGCTTTGTCTAGTCTTGTCTTGTCTTGCCTTCTTCTCTCATTCCTGCCCCCAAGCCCAAGGTCACGACATTCCATCACCCACCAAATTCAGACATCTGATTGCGCCGTGTTGGACTGTCACCGGTCATCATCGTTGTCGAATCCAGTAGCGGCGGAAGCCTCTCATCTGTGGCATTCCTAAACACCGCGTTGAAGTTCCAGCTTTTTTCAGCTCCGACGCCGCATCCCTAGAACGGGACCCGCCAACAGCAGCTGTTTCCGAGCTGTCTTGAGAAGGACAGAAAGAGAGAGAGAAGAGAAAAAGAGACCCGGGTGCCTCACTTTGCTTGACATCCGCCGCGCCCCATTACCGTCAAGGTTGGTAGCTCAGTCACGTCACTTCAGACTCTGTGCTCCCGCTTCTCCTGCTCCTGCCGCTCCTGCTCCACCAATCTTCCGGTCAGGCACAAGTACCGACAGGTCCAGTGTGCCTGCTGGATTAGTCCGCCCGGCAGCAACTATCCAAAAACAACCAGTCAAAAAAGCAAGAGCTCGCCCGTGGCAGGAAAGAACGAGGAGGATTCGAAAAATCACCAAAACCTCAAACACCGCGACCCCCTACCCAAAATGGCAATGGAGACTTCTTCGAGCTTCACGGCTCGAAGACAAGCAACACAGGCTTTGCCCCCATTCCATCTTCCGTCGACAAACCAAGATATACCGAGTATGAGTAGACATTCTCATCAGTACCCTTTCAGTTTTCACAATCAGCCTCTGCAGTCGCCATCATCGTGGCAAGCCCCCGCGATGGCTACGCCGTCGGCACCCTCCTCCTCCTCCGCTGCCTCAAATACTCAACATTCTCCTGTAACCGCCAGCTCTGGTCTAACATCGCCTTCAGGAGTGCCAGGTGAAGGGCTTAGCCCGCTCTCTTCCGGTGTCAACACCACGAGTTCCCAGAGCTCCTACTATCCTGGAGGTAACGGCCACGGATCATGGCCCACGCCCTCGAGTTCCTACCAGCTCAGCTCTGGGACGCCCCAGGGGCTCGTTCAGACCTCTCAGTATGCCTCCCGCGGGAGCACCTACGATCAGCAATCTCCAATGTCCTACTCTCGCACTTCGCAATCACCCGCAACTGGCGAGGGTCTTCCTCCACCGCCCTATGGGCAAACGCACCAGTCCTTCCAGGCTTATTCTCATGGAGGAGCGGGATCTACACCAGTCAGTTTGCCATCTCAGGGCCCACCAACACCTCAGGGTGGTATTCTTGGATCTCATGGTGCTGTCTCGACGCAACCTCCAACGCCTGGCGGTCTACACTCCCATCTTGATTCCTACACCCAGTCACGACCACCAGCGACACCCGGCTACTACTCCACATCATCGGCCCCCCAGCAATCGTTCAACAACTACCAACAATCCCACACATCGCCCACCGCTCCTTCTCCGACGACTTCGGCGGGTCCAGGGAGAGGACTTGCTGCGCTCCAGCACCCTTCCGCGATGGCACCCCCTGGCTCTTACCGCTACCCTGGTTATCATGTTCCATCGATGGGAGGACCGATCATGTCCAACCTTACTTCCCCTGGGCACCAGATGTCACTCGTGACTGGTATGGGTGTCCCCAGCGGTTATGGAGCACACCATCTTGCACCGTCAATGTACGGCCACACCCACGGGGGGCAGCCCAACCCGCAGGCCGAACGGCCGTTCAAGTGTGATCAGTGCCCACAGTCATTCAACCGAAACCACGACCTGAAGAGACATAAGAGAATTCATCTTGCAGTCAAGCCCTTCCCTTGCAACTTCTGCGATAAGAGTTTCTCTCGCAAGGACGCGTTGAAGGTCGGTTCCTAACACCCCGAGACATTTGCACGGCAGATCTTTTAGGAGATGAACAATAGCTGACGAACATCACAGAGGCACCGACTAGTCAAGGGTTGTGGTTCAAAGGAGGGTGATGGCCAGAACGAGAACGGACGACGCTCCTCGCAAGATCACTCTGACGACGGAACTCCTCCACTCAAGCGAGAGTAGATGGTTACAGATTGCCGCTCACGACCTTCAATATTCGACTCGCTTTATCGAATATACGGCTAAGATCATCTGCGGTCTCTTGGACATCCCAAGGGTGGTCATCATCAACTTAGGTAGCCAGGCGTCAACGTGGCTTACGACCGCGATGACCAAACCTCTGTACATGAAACCGTAAAAACCACAACATGGGGGATCCACGGACGTAACGAAAATTCGAAAGACACGGTTGGCATTCGACGAAGAATGCCTAGCAACAGACGATTCGGAGAAAACCTTTCTTGAAAACTTATTTTTAATTCGATCACCGGCCGTACATCGTATCATTTCTTTTCTACACGCACGGTTATACACGAAAACCCCGGCGTTATACTGACACCACGGAACATTAATGGAAAGAGACTACCAGGGTCATAGAGGGGGCCAGTTGGGACTGTGGTCACTTTCGTTCCCAAAGCTTTCTTTCGCTACATGCTTTTTCGGGAAAATCACTCGTGGGCACGAGGACCAGTTGGACAGGGCACACGGGGTCGGGTTTGTTTTTACGGCGAATGGTTGCGGCATCGTCCTCGCTACACACGGATGCGGGATAGGGCGATGCCAAATTGGGTACGGCTCCACGGAACACCTATATATCGGGAAAATGGAAACTGGCGCAGGCACTCACGAATCGGATGGGTCACGATGACGGAGGATGGCCTAAAACGACAGTCAAGGTTGAGTCATTGATTCTGTCAAAGTTTGGACGGGCATCTGGAACGGTCGGGTTTTGTACGCAAGAGGTCGCAGGTTATCAAGGTGGTATAGTGGAGTTGGGCATCAGGGACTGCTTTGGGAGATACCAAGATTATCAAAGAGACAGGTGACTGTACATTATTACAAACGCAAGAGAGCGTTCCCTGGGTAATCGACCCGATATGAAAATTTCGAGAGAAATGAGTAATGCTCTACACATATATCGAAGTCTCGCGAACGGTAATGGGCCCGTTGCTTCACAGAGTGTCATAACGGTACTCCAGAGCTACGAGAGAAGCACAATAATGACAATTGATTGGCATGTGAAGGACAATGAATCTTCGCCCCTATTCTCAAAGATCTAAGCTCGATCGATAATATTGACCGTAGTGGTGATTAGGATGGTTCACGGAGGAACATCCTAGAATATTAGACATCCGCACAGCAAGGCATCTCTACACTCTCGACCGGAGAATTCCAGAGACTGAACCGGCAAGAAACCACCATTTGAGACAGAGCTGTATGAATCCATCGAAACAGAAGTCTATAGATGCTCGAAACTGGTCGAATCACTTTCTCATCCTTTTCCTCCTCCTCATCATCTGAACCAAAGGCAGATTAGAGCCAGAGCCTAGTGATGATTACGTGCAGAGACTAGCGGATAGGAAAGGATGGCGTGAACGGAACGGACAAGGCTGGCGGGCAGGGCGTATGGGGGTGTACATTATAGTTTTTGGCTTTTTTTGGGCTGGTTCTCCTCCTCACCTCTCGTTTTGCTCTTGGGGAGCTTGGGGCTTTGGGCGTAAGGGAACGTGCTGGCGTGCGTGAACGGCCGCATGAGATCAGTGCGAGGGGGGGGGGGGGAAGGATGGGATAGCAGGTGTCCGTCTGTCGGTCTTCTCGCTCTCTGCAGGAAATAAAATAAAAAAAACAGATGAAAAAGAGGCGCTGGGCGCCGCCGCCGCGCGCCATACTCAAAACATCAGATGGCATTGGGGGGAGGAACATAACACGCAGTAAATCAGACTTGCCCACCCTCCCCCCCCCTTCCATGCTATTTTGGGCCAAGTTTGCTCTTCGGGAGTCTCCTCCTTCAAAGGGGATTGAGAAAGATGGGATGCTTCTGACGAAAGAAGGACGTTGCTTGTGTGACCGCGTTGGGGATTCCTTAGTCGATCGCCGGGGAAGCAAACCACATGTTCGTCAGCCAGCTCTCTGCTTCTGTATTAACCTCGTTCCGGCAAGAGAAAAAAAAAACTGTCCGAGGAGAGGCTGTTAAGTTGGAATGGATGGGGGAAACACGGTGCAGTTGTGATACGAGCAGCCTCTGCAACTTTTTTCTTCCTTTCGTATGTCATGTCGCACATGAGTCGCCCACCGTATTCCAAGACTGCAGTCACGAAGCTTAAGTCAGTATCTTGATAACAGTGGGTATAGGTGTACAGTGATCAGAGCGTCGTAGACGATGATCATTTCACTGACCCGATGAGCGGAGAGTCCGTGAGAGTTCGCTACGCGTTATCCCGCTGCTGGATAGCACGCTGGGGATTCGTCAAAGATACGCGAAGTTGATCAAGAAGCGATATGCGATCAATACGGAAGAGTCTAGACTCCCTTGCATGTCGGTTATCTGCGGAGAGTGTGCAGCTTGATGGGCTCGGCCCCATCGCGCAAACGAAGATTCGATGTACCAGAGAGGTCGCCCCAGTCCGGAGCTGGTAAGGTCTTCGTCTGGTCATACACAGCCGTGATGGCCAGTTCGAAATGCTCCGGTCTGATGGAGAACAAAGCCAAGCCAGCGGGGGGGGAGGATAGAGTAGCGGGGCAAGTGAAAGCGATCCGGCTGCGGAGCTGAATCGAGAACCTGACGTGAGCTGAGACACACACACACGCGAGAGGGTGGAATGAGAAGGGGGGGGAGAGGGAAAAGCTAGAGTAAGGTAGGTGGTAGGGCGGAGACCAACCCATGGACAAGCATTCCTGTCACTCCCACGCGATGGGCTGGCGAAGGTGTGCGAGGCGCCCTCTTCCCGGGGAACCTCTAGCCCTTCCCCTTTTCCCCCTTTCTCTCAGAGCCGGCGGCACCACTAGTGTATGGGTCTGAGAAGCCATGCCATTTTGAGCGTGCGGACTCGACAAGAGTTGGTCGTCGAGCTGCAGCTGGGTAACACACCTGAGAGCACTGGTTACCCTCATGGAGTGCACAGATTGTCTGACAATGCCTGGCATCAACGCTACTGAAGATAGACCATCAATTCATTTGACGCTTTGGAGAGGGTGGGAAACACCCCTCAACGGAAACTGTTGGATCGGAAGTGGCAAAGACTCTCGCCGACCAACCGCATTGACTCCTTCTACCTTGTTTTGTCGTACTCACCAAGAAACGTGAGGGTGGGTGTACGGGAAGACATAAGCATCATCTTGCCCAGCTTCCAGTGATCTGACCATATGACTGGCCCAGCTTGTTATCCCATATGTGCATTTTCCTTGGCAATTGAGTCACTTGCTTCATTGCACCAAAGACGCAAGCATCATTCAGCCGTAGATAATTTCTCCACTCGGATAGAGATAGAGGGGAAGAGAGTCGGTAAGTCAAAGCCGTTCAGCATGTCGGTAGGATGGCGCACGTTGATGGCGTAATTTCTTCGTGCTTTCTTCTATCGTTCTTTCGCCCATCAATGTAGAAGAATAAAAGGCTTGTCTTCGTCGGCTGCAACGAAATTCGACACAATGGGATGAACCAGGGCGTTGTCAGCCTTCTTGGTAAAGAGGGCATGTCTAGCCGCGCCACGTAAGCAATGCTCATGTGGTAGGATGTAAATAGGAGGAGGTATCAGCGGGCTGAGGTGTAATCTCGTTTCCAATGGTCCCAAGATGGTTGTTCTTTTGAATGCTCCTGTGCAGATCAGCGCCCGAGTAGGAAGCCTCAAGGCTAGTCCTCCGGTTCCTCTTCGAGCCTAGCGGCAGCCTCGAAGCGGCAGCGGCTGAACGTCTGGACGCAAACTAACGAATCCCACGACGACAATCTTACATACCGGTTTGCAGACACAATATGTCGCTTTCTTAATCTTGCCAATGGTTGGTCAGAAGAAGTTGATCTGGGGTCATTGGAATGATGAGAAAATATCGTTGTGGAGTCTTTTAAACGAGGGTTCGGGGTGAAAAGGTTGTGCAATAAGTCTTGATCTGACACTTCGAGATCGTTTGATGTTGACGTCCCTACCATAAGTGGCATCCATCGTAAAGGCGGAAGGCGACATCTACTGTGCCTCTGGTCCAAAATTCGACTCTTGAACTATGGTTTGACTTGTAGGTTGATCATGCGAAAAACTATACTGAGGTAAAGACCCATATACCTGGGCTCGTGCTGATTCGCGGAAGAGAACGCAGTTGCTGCAAGAACGTTGCCGTTAATGTTACGCGACATTGAGTACATATGTATCATTGCCAGGCCCCTGGATCCAAAAGTAGGATAAAGGCTCGGCGTCTATGCTGCGCAGACAACAGACACAGTGTCGAAGTAGCCTCACTGATCAAAGCTTGCGCCGGTGCTTTTGCCATCGGCAATGGTCAAGGTCGTCTAGAATCTTGTACTAGATGGTCGAGCTCCGTGCGAACTCATGCGACCGAAGGCAACCATGCTCAAGCAGGTGAGCCAGACACAACATGAGCTATATTTGTTCTTCAGTTCAAATATCTCGAATTGCTGCAGGCGCAGGTAGATTAGCGGTTGCCATTGCTGGACGTTTCTGACGTCACCTGTTTTTGCTAAACGTTTCCACGGTGAAGCGTGATTACGAGTGTAGAATGCCGTGGGTCAGAGGTCAGCTCCTGATTGCTAGGTTGCGATTGATAACAAGGCAGACGCGTACTTTGGATGAGTTAGCAAGGGCGTTCGTTGCAAGTCGTCGAATTAGGCTCGGCAAGATGCGAAGTCGCCCCTTGATCCCGGTCCGGCCCCGCGATTTGGGTTGGATGCAGCTTAGGGAATGCCCTGTGTTCTGTCCCGGACCAACCTTGCCATCAACCATTCAATTCCCGTGGATGGTTCTGCGGCTTGTTGCAGATCATTTCCCCTTGGCCAGGGGCAGATAGCCACGGAAGCGCCCAACCGAAGCATACCAGCCAGTCCGCATGTCGGCCAGGCCTCGAAATCAACTTAGGCCGTAAACTTGGCGAGACATATCTCAGCGTTTGCTGAAATCGTCAGACGCTCACGGGCAGCTGCATGCTATCGGGGGACATGAACGCATATCATCGAAGGAGAAATAGGCGCAATTCAAAGTAATCAGTGCTGGCGAGCGAGAACCATGGCAAGACTTCAACTAATCTCAGTGTCGCTAGGGTTGCATCAGACTCGGGTCACTGATCACCGGTGATCCCTGCCTGTGAAGTTGCGGTCTCCACGCGTCCCCGCAGTTCTCATGTTCGGGCAAGCGTTCAAAGAATCAAGGATAGAACTGAGCGAAGCCTCTCTCTCTCTCCGCGATTCTGTCTCCAGGGAGTACAGGCTGGTATTCAGGGCTTGCTCGAAAACTAGCCTGGACCCAAGCGCTCGAAGGCAAGCATGTGCGATTTCTTCTATCATCATCCGAGACTCGGGCTGCGACCATGCCGACATCATCAAATAGACAAGACTTGAGGCGTAAGCAATTGCTCTTGCGCTGGTAGCAAATCAGCTGGACAGAGTGTCTGTATATATCAGAAGCTTCCTTGGTCCAGGGAAAGCAATCTCTGTGGTAAAGTCGAAGCTTCATGAACGTGCTAATTGCCACCATTTGAACTAAAAAAACTCGAACATTTCCGAGAACCTTGGCTGCATTTAAACCCCAATATAGCAGATTGGAACAATGCAGACAGTTGCGTAGTGCGAAAACCTGGCAATTCCCGTTATCACGTAGTGGCGCGGTCTACCTTGAAGTGACAGCGGGAGGCGGTTGAGTTGTGTTCAGACTTTTCACACACCCTCTCCTCTGAGACGCAACTCTCGGATCTCCAGGCTCGAAAGCATTGACATCCTGACAGACGTCGTCCATGCCAAGGATCATTGCAGATCAACCCGTGAGTCGCCGCCTAGATTTGTGCCTGACATCAATGGCAATGTATAGAAGCAGGCTGCCCCCAGGAGAAAGCCTTTGCGGGAAACCGCAATCCCCTAACATCCATTGTGTGCTGGCGATGCCGTGTTTCATGGCGTCGTGAGTTTCTGTTCCGTTTGTCAAACACTCGACGAATCATTTCATTGAGGATGGAATAATCTGTGAACGAACCCTCGGGTTCGTAAGCGTTACTGAGCTGATTCGCCAGTCAATCAAGTTTTCAAAACGTCGGACCATGCTAATTTTTGGCCTCTAGGAATTTCTTGGTTCCTCACAAATCAGTCAATGCAGCATCTACACGGGGGCATCGATGTTTGACGGGGCTGGCTTACTGAAGATGACTCAAGGCTCCTGGAACTCGGCCGAATAGTGGTGGACTCGGAAGAATCGTCGGTCATCGTGCTCAGGGAGCGGCAGGGACATAATCGCACGCGAGAAGTGGGGCGTGACGATGTGTCGGGGCGATGATGCGTAGGTTGAGCGCCAAACGTGCTCGCCCATCGGTGGATCAACCACATTCTAGGAGACGGAAGAGCAGAGATCGAAAGGCTGTGATTGCGATTGGCGGGCTTAGGGCGAGATTGTGGGACGAGCTCCCCTGGTGGTGCTTTGGGATGGCCGAGAATAGGGTGGCCCGAGACTTCGGATGAATGTGATGAAATACCAAACTCTGGGCTCGGCAGCGACATTTGAGACAGCGTATCAGCTCTTGTGAACAACGTAGGCCGTATGAGTCGTTTCGAACAGTCTTGGAGGCGTATGGGGCCGAAGTCTTTTCTACCAAGCACCATAGTTGAAGTGGTCGGCAAGGAGCTCCAGACCGTCGAACCATCAACCCCTGTTCAGGAACTGCGATTGATAGCAGAGCCATGGCTGGCCTGGAACTTTCTCCCTAAGTGGCCCATGCTGCTGTCTCCAAATAATTACAGATATTTTGTCGTAGAGCTATATTTGGAAACAGAGGCGTGAGGCTGTCATAGGATATCGTGCTGGTATGGCTGGAGGTTCGATTGACGGACATAACGTCCAGATAAGGTAGGCGATTGCATTGGGCACAGGGTAGCCAATAAACAACGTTCAACTCAACAACATCATTTCTTCTTTCGTCTCGTGATTCATTCGAAGTTTTGTGGGAGACCGATGAAAAAAAAGGCGAGCAACGGGGGAGAAAATGGCCGATGTCGAGACACGCCGTGAGCAGTTTGTTTGAGAGCAGAATGGATGGAGGTTGAGTTTGGGTGTGACGGTGTCACTAGAGAAAAGAATTGTTAGCAGGAGAAGGTATCGGTACTTCTTGCTCTTTTAGGCTACCGAAGCTAAGAAGGCCCACAAGCCAATGAGAACGAACATAGTGGAGAAGACCCCGCCTTGGCATCGTCGCAAACTCCACCCATGCGCAAGTTGCCGAAGGGGCGTTCCCTGAAATTCCGTATCAGCTCCTTCTCCTGGCCTTAGCAGAATGTCTCGCGTGATACCGCAACCTTCTGCTAACGCAGTCTTAGGCCAGAATGTGGCCGGTTGCCCGTCTCACCAGGGTGTAACCAGGCTTTCAGGCCCTCCGGAAGGCGCAACAAAAAGTCACGGCCGTCCGCCTCCTACATCTTGGCACGAGCCAAGTCTACTTCCCATTCATGCACAACATGCTCTCGTTTCGCCGCAGTATCGCGAAGACTTATTCGTAACACCCTCCCTGCTTGAAGCGTCTGAAGATCCCACGCAAACCTTCTCGCTGCCAGTCTATAACATTGCCCGTGCCGCCTTGATCCCCTCATCTTGGCAAATCCATCTGAAGGACCAGGACGCTCTATCTCTCACTTCCCATCTTAAATAATAACTGACTCCACGGCCGGGACTGGAGCCTGGTAAAACCGTACATAATACACACCGTCACTCTCTTAATATTCGATTGTTTACCAGTTCTCGTACGCCAGCGTCGACCGCTTCGCCACGATATTCGCAAAAATGGACAGCTTTCTCATGGCAAGACACGGTGGCGATGACCACGGAGCGACAGGAACAGCAACTGCTTCGGATGCTATGCCGGGAATGGATATGGGATCCGGCACGATGAACGATACCCACGGCTCGACTGGCTCAAGCATGAGCATGATGATGATGACCATCTTCCAGACCAGTCTGAAGACTCCTCTCTACACCGAGGCCTGGACCCCGAACAGCGTTGGCACTTACGCCGCCACGTGCATCTTCCTCATCTTCTTGGCCTTCGGTCTTCGCAGCATGCTCGCTCTCAAGTCTATTCAGGAGAAGCGATGGTTGGACAAGGACTTCAAGCGCCGCTACGTGAGCGTTAACGGCAAGCTCGGCATGGCAGGAAAGATGTCAACGGACAGCATGGCAAAGCAAATGGTACTTTCCGAGAACGGCCTCGAGGAGAACGTCACTGTCGTTCAGAAGGGACATGGCATTTGGAGGCCCTGGAGATTCTCCGTTGATCCTGTTCGTGCTGTGATTGACACTGCCATTGCCGGAGTTGGGTATCTTCTGTACGTATTCTTCTTCTCGCTGCTTACTTTTGAAACATCTACTAACAATTCATAGGATGTTGGCTGTCATGACAATGAACGTCGGTTACTTGCTGTCAGTTCTCGGCGGCGTCTTCCTGGGCAGTCTCGCTGTTGGCCGTTTTGCCACTATGGGCGAGCACTAGTGAATTATCAGCAGCAGTTATGGAGACAATACCGACTAGAACGATCTCCTCAATTCACTTGCTGTTGTATGATGCGGTGACTCTAGTGATGGACGGATGCTGGATCATGGCAAATAGACACGAGGAATGCGACCACGAAGGAATGGACACCGCGACAATCAACAAACTTTTTTTTTCTGTCCTTTTTTTTTCTTCTTTTTTTGGAACCGCATGCGAAGGAAACTACCAGGCTACTTCCGGCTGGAGATTACGCTCGCTGTGTTGTGTGCTGCACGAAGCAACGTTTGTACACCCAGTGGCAGCCCGCGGTTGTCAAAATTCAAGCAGCTACGATCGAAAGTAGTGAAGCTGTGTGTACAGATTCGGTACTCAATATGGGGTTCCCTCCTTCTCGTCTCTTGTAGTCTTGTGGTGATAGCGCGGCAAGTACATGTACAAGGGTGCCTAGTGCCATTCCTGGCTCGTGCAGAAACCTTCTCAAACTCCCTCAGCCCGTCGCCTCCGTCCCCCGCTTCCTGCGAGGTTCAAGTGAGACAAACCAAGCCACCAAGCAAGTCTTCCTTACCGTCGCTGCCTTCGTTGCTGTGCCACATCACCTAAGCCGTCTACTCGACCTCTTCCCCTTTCGTCCAAGTCAAGCCTTCGAATACCAAATGAGTCGAGCCCAAAAGGAGCCGCATGTCGACCTGTCCGCCACGCTCGGCCAGAGATGCAACTGGAGGTGGCTATAACCTATCAGCCCTCAGATTCTGCCCCTACGAAAGTGTATCACTAAGCAGCCAGACAGGCTCACATGCTGGCAGGGTCCAATTCGAGGGGATGCAACCCAGGACGAACGATAAGATCAGCAACCCGACCATGTTTTCTGGGACTGCACCAATAGTCGACTGTACACCCAATCACATGTTTTGCGAGTACGGATACGTTCTTATTGTTGATCAACAGGCATCCTCCCTTCGCGCCCTGGCGTCTCGAGTCGCGGTGCCAGATGCGACGTCACCCAGCGTGGCATGGCAGCCCTAAGCATGTGGAGTGTTTCCCCCGGTTCCGCACTCTTCGAAGAACCCGTCCTTCCACGAAGCTTGTTTCTGCCCGTTTCATCTGAACAGCTCCCCTCCAGACTGACCTCGAAGTTTCACTGCTCCGATGCTCCGTTCCAGTCAAATTTGGCTCCTGGCCATCTTGCAGAGGGGTACGGCAACTTCCACATGGGACGGACAAAATGAATCGATGCTCTACCTCGACGAACTCTTCTCTACAGCAGAGCTTTGAATGGCCAAGACAATGACGAGGTTGCCGCATGTCTACCGGCGTTACTAGCACCAGTGTCAGAAACCGAGAGACAAGCAAGATATATTTGCACCACCAACTCCGACTGAAGGCTGTGTTTGGATGTCACAACACAAACTTGAATAGTCCGATACAACATAAGTCAGTTGAACCCTGCCATCCGTTGCATCTTAACCACCACGCTCCAATCGGGTCATGATTCACTACAAAGACGACAACAGACGACGGGAGCGCCGTGGCTGTGCGGGGCTTTCGCTTTACCCGGAGTCCACGATATCTGTGCCTGAACCCGGAGATGGGGAATCATTAGCAAGGAGACGCGGCTCAACTCCGAGCACTGTGCAATACAAAGCGACCATCCTCGAGCCTCGGGACTTTGTGGGTGTCACTTCTTTCTGAACGTCTCGAAGAGGAGTAGTTAGGACGATGTAAAGTTCTTGATTGTCCGGACTAACGAGAGCTCAGCCTAGGCTCACTACCAGAGGACGAGTACTATCAAGAACGGGACTCCGAGTAGAGGAGGGCGCGGAGACAATCCTGGACACCATTTTCTCAAACGCCAGCAGAATCAGTCCATCATGTGCAGTGTCCGACGATACCACAGAGCCCTAGACCACCAGGAAACGAACGTGGCGAGTCCATATATCAGCCGGAAGCTTGCCACACCTCTTACTGGCCCAACCGCCGGCGAAGTCTCCCGTAATCCTGGAAATGACCTCGGGACCGGCATCCAGTCCAGTCGAGGTAACGGGCCCTTGGGACTCGGCATTCAACCCTGTATGCAGCGTCCTAGAGGTCGCCGACCCTGTCAATTCAAAATCAATCTCTTCCTCGTCCATCCTTGTCGACGGACTACAGAGACAGAGGGCTGGGCTGATATCCAAGTTTGACCCATGTACAGCCTTATGTGCCGTTGCCGAAATTACGGAGACGATTAAAGCAGTTGCATAGCTGCTCGCCCAAGGTCGGAAGAGCTTCAGAAAATGGTCTACCTAAATCTAGATCCGATCACGTCTGACCACATTGAAACCGCAGCGGACCGGTTCGCCGCAAATCCCGTTAAGGTCGCCAGGCCCAAAAAGGCAACGAGCTGTCCCTGCTCACGTCCAAATCTAGACAGGACCTTCTCCACCAAAAACAACAGAGATACATTTGCCGGAAAACCTCACAGCTAGGTACGCGTCTTTCCAAATATGTCAACTTTACCCCGCTGTAAAAAGGTCAAAAGAAAAGAGTTGAAGCACACAGATGCGCATGTGACACATCAAAGACTTGATCAGTCTCACTCTCCCGGTCAGTCGAATACAACTCCTCCGATCGACCCCGCTAGTTGCACACTGTATCCCCAGAAACGATTCAAGTCAAGTTTGCCAGATGAGAGAGACCGACAACGACGATGAGATAGCTGTGAACCTCATTTTCATCAACAGTCCAGCCAAGAGGGTTGTGCATCGTCCTTCGCGCCAAGTCTACGGGCTGCTCTCCTCTTCGACTCTCCGCTGGACCCCCGCTACTGGCGCTGTCGCCAAAGCCGCGCTGAGGACGTGCACCACCTCATTAGTAACAACGAGCGGAACATGAGGGCGGGCAATGCAGGCAGTATCCGTAGGTCCACAACCACTGTCAGTCCGCGCCCAGCAGTTAGGTTGCGCCGGCCGTGCCACGGGCGGGTCTATCGTTCACCGAATCACAACACGCGAGAAGGCCAAAAGCAGCATACGAATCTCTCACTCTGCCCCTTGCATCCCGAGTTCCCGCCATCCATGAGTCTGCAGTGAGTTTAGTCGCCCGTGAATGGAACCAGAGATCCGCTGTTCGACCTAATCAGGCAAAAGTTGTCGGCGGGCTATTTCAACCGCATACCAATGCGACGACAACATCCACAGTTTTGTAATGACAAGAACAAGAATAAGAGAGTGCATGTCGACAAATTAACCTCTGTCAATCAAGTGCGGTCTGGAACCTACTACCCTAGATCTTCCACCCCTCCCCTCGGACGTCAAACTGTCAACAAGTTTACCAAGCAAGCAAGCAACCGGACGGTAGGGGTTGGCTCGTTCGTACTCGATGCCCGCCCGAGCTTGAATTAATTAGGAAATTCCAAGGAGAAATGACACAACCATTTGTATGGGCAGGACAGAAGCCAAAATCTGTTGCGAAAACCTTGCCCACCGCTTGACAACCAAGCTTCGCGCGACCTTATGCTGTCGGGCAGCTGTCAAAAAACGACCCGGGCTTTCTTCCTTTCTTCCTTCACCCCTCCTCCTCACCACCACCATCGTGGTAGGTAATGTAGCTTGTTTGCCAGCACCTCTTTGTGCCTGTCTTTTTTTTTTTTTTTTTTTTTTTTGTCTTTCCCCTTCTTTCGTGTGTCTCGCATTCCAGCTTTAGAGTTCAGTCACTTGTCATGTCACCATGACGGCACACCACACACTTTTACGTATGCCGCCACGGACAACTGCGCACTGCCGAACCAAACCAAACCAAAGCCGAGTCTAAATTTTTGTTTGCTTGTTCGAGTCCGCAAACGGAATTGTTCGAGGACGGACGGACGGACGCGGGGAACGGAGGAAGGAAAAGTCGAAAGATCTGAAAATGTGTAAGCAACGGACAGAAAAAGTCTCTCCTTGTCTCGACGGAAACAACCCACCACCTTTCACTTCGGATCAATCCTCGCATGATTGGTCAATAGTACGACGACCTATCTGCGCCTTCTCCTTCGACTACCTAGGATTCGATGCTCTAGGAGTATAGTGCATAGATATTGTAGACCTTTCAGACAAGCATCACTTCACAGAACTCGGCGCGTAAATTACAATTCTTCGTATAACGTTTTCACAACATTAACAACTCGTCAGGTCCTGTCTCTCTAGTCGTGGTGATTTCTGGTACGAAGACGGGGGGAAAGGAGGAGGAATAATAATCGCAAAAGGGGGGCGCGCACGCGGATATAACTATCATACAAGGTGTATAGAGACATTCCATCCTCTCCATATTCTTAAAACTCATCTTGCGTTCTTCATCACTTCCTTTTCCCCATGAATCGGTGCATCCCCGGGCTCTCGGTGCCTGCTTATTCCCCTGTATCCCAGACTGAGACCGCGCCTGACAACAACGACAACGATGACAGCGAACAGGAACGGAAAGTGTACGGTGTGAATGTAGCTTTTTGTTGATTTGCCCAGGGCCGGGGGGTATCGTGCCGAGTCCTACGGAGAAACAGAGCCCAAAAGACATTTCCTCGCAGAGCAGCGTAGTGAGAGATTACGGGTTCTGGAGCGGACCGAGTTGGTCGCGCGACGTCTCTCTGTTCCCTCGTTGATCCTCGACTTTAATGAAATCATCACAGTCCATTCCAAAAAAAAGATGTGCCTGCCCCAGCCGTGAGAATGTCGTGCTCTCGTGCTGAAAAAGGACCTTCCCCCTCCCGCGCCGGAAATTCCCCCACCCTGCTTCCGCAAGACATAGCTTTCTCCAACCACACAACTCTCCCCTACCGCCACTGGAGAAGAAGGAAAAAAGAACGAAAACGATAAATGGCCAACGATGCCATACAAACTCGCGTCCACAGACGGCAAGCCGCCTGTCGCGAGGCACAGACGTGCCGCGCTCAATGAGACCGCCGCCGTCGTAATGCCACCCATACCCCATGTCTCCTGATCGCATGCTCCTCAGTGTCTCCATGTCTCTCGTTATGTTCCCCCGTGTTTTCCCCAGCTAGACAGCATTAAAATCCGCTCCGCGATAACGGTATCGCACAATAACTGTTTTCCTTGAAAATTAAATTCCAAGGACGGCCAAGTTGTGAGATGCCGGCGGAGTCGTAATAGCAAAAGGGAAATTGGGATCAAGAGAAATAAAAAGAAAACGTAGTGGAACGAGATGCAGCAATTATTCACACCGAACTGTAACGCCAAACTACCAGAGCCTCATCGCCGGGTGAAGAAATGACGAATGCCGGCGACTGAGGTCTGGGAGATGCAGGATGTGTGTCTGGTATCAACGGGAAATGCAAAAGTCACGATGAACTTGGCGATCATGACTGATGCGACGTGTGCTGGGGAAGACCAGACTGCGGCGGCATAGCGTAGCCACCACCCCGTTGTTGTTGCTGGACGTAACTCTGGTAGGCGAGCGCCTGAGAAGGGTCCATGCCGACGTTGGACATGTAGTTAGGAGGCATGTGAGGTTGAGGCATACCCTGGCGTCCAGCCTGAGGGGGCAGGTGCTGTTGAGGAGGCTCTTCGGGCGAGTCAACCTGGTTCGAGTCGTCGACGCCGTTCTCGCCGCCTTGGGATGGCTCGGGTGCATTCAGGCATGCCTGTATCGAGAGTCAGAATTGTCTTTTTTCTTTTCCTTTGTAATTTTGCGTTGGTTCAAGCAGAAAGCGCATACCTGAATCAAGTTCTTGCCCTCAGCCTTAGTGACAAGAGGTTGCAACTTTGGTGTCGTGAAGGTGTAGACGAGACCTGTCTCGGAAACAACGAGGAGGAGCACTTGGGTGCCAGTGAGGACAGAAAGCTCATAAGCCTAGTGAACATTCTGGTCAGCATTTTGAACAAGTAAGAATCGGGCTGGTGCAGGCAGCAGCAAGTTTCCGTGGAGGATTGCTTCGACTCGGTTGGAGATAGAGGAACGATTGGAATTGTCAACGTACCTTCTTCATGATACCAGCCTTGCGCTTGGAAAATGTAATGTGACGACGAGACTTGTCGTTGATGAACTTAATCTCAATCTTGCGACGCTCGCGGCCGCCCTTCTCGTCATCATCATCGTCGTCGTCGGCGGTGCTGGGACGTTGGCGCTTGACGCCTCTGTTCTCGGCAACGCTGCCGTTGCCAACCTGCGACTCGTCGAGGTCGGTAGGCGAGGTCTGGTCGTGTTGATCGGTGATGTCGGCCATTGTGGACAAGTGCGCGGGTGTTGGATGGTATCACAAGGCAGTAAAAGGTAAAAAACGGTGGAGAAACTGCTTTGAGCGTGGTGCCGATTGATCTATACTTGATCAGGGTGGATGAGCTCTTGCTGTGTGTAGCTTGAATGTTGTCGCAGAAGGAGGCAGGTCGGAACGGGAGGTAACCTGTATTGAGTCTGGTGCGGAGCGGATGCGGTGCCTTGCGTGTGGTGGAGGTGGGAAGGCAGGTAAGGTTGACTGATTGAGAAAGATGGCAGGTAGGAGAGTTGAGTTGGTAGGGTAGGTGGTAGGTAGGTGGGTAGGTTACGCGGGCGACTGATAGCGCGGTTGCGTGTGTAGTAGTACCTTTTTTGTTTTTTTTCCCCTGCCGACCAACGGAAGCGAGGAATTTGCTGATTTAATTTTTTATTTGCTTTGTTTGACTTTTGGAGCTTCCGTGTCTGACATGCACTTGTTGCTTGTCGGTAGCCACAGCGGATAGCGGACAGGCTGGATGAAGATTTGTCCCAAATAGTCAATAGTCGACGGCGACTATTTTTCTGACAGGCGGCGCGGGCGCGGTGGATGGATGGTTTGGTGGTGGAAGGAAGCTGGTCTTTTTTGGAGACAAGCACAAGGTAGCGTAGCGGCAGCAGGTGGGTGGTGGTGGTGGTTGTGGTTTGTTCGCAGCGGAAAGCGGGAAGGCTTGGCCTGGCGAAACGAACTGGCTGCGGTGCGGGTTATGAGCCGAGCGGATTTGTGTAGGTATTTCTGCGGAGATGCGTGGTGCGATGGGGTGGCCGCGCAGAAAAAGGAAAAAACGCGACTCGAGTGAGAAACTTGGGTCGGGGGTAGTGGGAGAAAGAGTCGAGGTCACTCGGCGGTTTTTGGGGGGATCCCTTTTTTGACGGGGGGAGAAGGCCGAGAAGAGAGACTGGGGGTAACCTGAGAGGGGGGGCAGGAGGGAAAGGTAAGGCCGAGAGTCCAGAGCCAGAGAGAGACGTTGGACCAAGGGTCAGTTGTCAGGCAAGACCGGGTCAGGTCAGGTACCGAGTGGATGAGGGTGAGGGTGAAGGGTGAGATGGTTGGGATGTCGTATCTCTCTCGTCCGGATTTCAATGGAATCCACGGAGCCGAAGAACGGGTTCTTGGACGCCCCCCAGAAAAGAACAGAAGAAGAAAAAAAGGGGATAAGAGGAGACGGGTATGGGTATGGATACAGATAGGTTCTCGATGAGGTATCGGGGCTTGACGTACGTCGTTGGTGGTTCAAGCGATTTCCCCTGCTCTCGAAAACAAGCAACAAGTGTCAGTTGGGGAAAAGCAGCTCGATTGAGGATAAGGTGAAAGGGAACTGCGGAGTGAATGAAAAGAGGATAGCGAGGTGGTAGCACGGGCTGCGGCCATAACCAGACAGTTTAAGGAAAAACGAAAGGCGGGGGGTGGCGGTCTTGGGCTGCCTGGGCCCTCTTCTACTCGAGTACATAGTACGGACTTCTCAGAGACGCGACGGGGGCCCTTGGGGGTGCGACCAGGGTGTCAAGTGCTAGCTGGGTTGTAGAGTACAGTGCGCGCTACAAAGATACAAAGATACCTTTCCATCTTTTCTAACCTCGACTTCCATGCCCGGGGCATGCCGCTATGGAGTGAAGGGGGGAGGAAGAGGGAGAAGAAGAAGAAGACGAAGAAGGATGACCGGGGTGTAGAGGTACCTTTGAGGGGGTGTGTGCGTGGTTGGCGGGTGGGAGTGCCAATGTCGCGGTGCGCGTACGGAGTATGGTAGGTACGGATTACCAAAGGTGCCTACGGATACCTCAATTGTTTGGAGCTCTGAAATGTGAGGTGTTCCATGGATGGATGCCGACGGAGACTCCCTCAGGTGGAGCGGAGAGAGAAAGGGCAGATATGTGGGCTATTCTCTTGGGATTCTACTCTGAACGGAACATCAATTGATGATATCTGGTTGTGCGGGTACCTTAGTAAATTAATACGCGCTCTCTTTTTCTCCCTCTCCCAATGGAAGGCAGGATGCAAGTGCTGATGCCTTTCTTACATTTCGATGAGAAAATTTGACCAAGTGGAATAAAGGGTGTGGATGTATGCCAAGGTACTTCATTACATCTTACATAGTATGTGCGTGTGTGTGAGAGAGAGTTGTCGAGAGGAAAGAGCACAAAAGTTAAACGGGCGGGTGAAGAATAGACAGGCAGCGGGAAGACTGGACGGAAACTGTGTTGACGGAAGTCAAGCATGAGGCGACAACCAACGACACCGGTTTGTACCTTAGACGCCTCAGGAAGAGAAGTCCCACCAAGGTACCTTATCTTACATCTCTCGGAAACCCGAGTTACATTGCAAGAACGATGGTCCACGGGGACAGAAAGAAACAATCACACTCCAGAGGAAGTCCATAGGAAGGAACGAGGAACAACGAGGTTAGCAATCACAGGCAGGCACAGGCTTCCGCAACTACCTTGCTCTTTCCATCGGCGGTGTTGATCCACTGACTTCTGGTTTCCTTCCTGCTCAAAATGTGAGCCTGGTGGTGACTGCTAAAGTGAGGTGGTGGGTGGTGCCTGTTCGAAGAGGAGGAAAGTGGAGCCGTCCAAAGTGACTTCCACCCTCTCCTTCTGTTTCCCTTCCTCCTCGTTCTTGGTCCTGCCCCAAAACCTCATTTCTATCTTTCCCTCTCTCTCTTCCTCTCTCCATCTTATTACCTCATGTAACTTACCTGACCTTCCCATTCAATACTCCCAAGGTCACGTAAGCGCAATTGAACCCGGGCAACATGCTCGCCCCTTCCTTCGTTCTTCTCTCTTCTTGCTTCATATCACCCTCCTTCGGAACTTGTACCATGATGCTCGAAAAAGGCGCAGAGTGACGACAATTAGAGGATCCAATCCCCTTTCCATGTACTCCTAGGCCCCCCAGTAGATAACTAAGGCACACGAGATGAGAAAGATATACTAGCACACACCCACCTGCAGCCGACCAGGGAAGAAGGTTTGGCTTCCAGCAGCACAAGCGCAACTACGGATACACTACGACGCTTGCACCATCCTCGACCTCCGCCATACCATTGGGAGATGAGAGGTACATATCCCGATACCTTGCCTACCTTACCTTGAGGTACCCAAGTATTACCGACTGCATCAACCCTCCCCGCCCATCTACTCAATGACCTTGACAGGCTTCCCCCTCTCTCAGCAACATGCCATCGTTCATCGCCATCGTCCACCCTCTAGCTCCTCTATCTGTACATGTGAATAGGAGACTTGGATATCGTCCACTAGGACAATGCTAGCGACAGATATCCTTCTACGCCAAGAGATAGCCCTGCTTGCAAGCCATACTGCTAGGTTGCGTCCCGCCCACAGCCATGGGTCCTGTCGGTCAGGACGCGGCCGACCGGACCAGTCCAGTCCAGTCCAGTCCAGTGAAAACCTGGACTGCCATGCCTCGAGAGCTACAGTATGTGAGCCTGTAAGGTCTGCGGCGGCGCGGCCTGCCAGCTCTTCCAATCCCATGGTTAGTTTCTGCACCTCGTGACTTGACTTTGCCAGTATCTCCATGTCTCTCCTCAAGCCCTCTTCCCTCGGTACGTACACTCGACAAATGTCGGGCTACGGCGGCTTTGCATCGTTGTGATGACTACCTAGCATGCGACACTGCAGAAGTGCAGATTGACATCTCTCTTCTTGGGTCCTGGCTTGCCTGTGTAATAACGGGTAGGCGATCCAGAACCAGGGCCAACATCGACGCCGTTGTCGTAGCCATTGCCGCAATAACCAACCGCCTGGTTCAATTGCTGAACCTGCTGGCGATCCCTTCTCTCTTCAATCTCGCGCCAAAACGTCTGCAGCTCATGTACCTGACTTGTCCGGTTTGGGATACGCTGCTGTTCCCTACCGACGGCTCGTTGGATTGTTCTTTCGAGGGCCGAGCTAACGCATAGCAGAGCCTAGGCGTCGCCGTGGACGTCCTGTCAGAACTTAGAACCTTCGCACCGACGCTGTCAAAGCCTTCTTCGCTGCCTTCGATCGCTTGCGGCTTGGTTCTCACTGCTTTGGAGCTTGAGCCATTGCGTTCCTCCTCCTAATGCCTCGAGAGCACACACTGCTGCCTTCATCTGGCGACTATCAGCCTTTCTGGGCCAGTCCCTGCAGAATGAAGAATCATGTCAGCAAACACCAGCCATTTCTTTGGACCCTCGATTGCTAACGCCTTTCCTTTTCTCACTGCACTGTGCCCCTCAATTTTAGCTCCCTCATCCTAGGTCCGGGCTGCCAGTGGAATCCATGGGAAATAAGCGATCCAGGTATTCCACATTGTAGCACAGTCGGCGGCGCCATGGCTGTCTAAACGGTGGTCAAAGCATCGTGGTTTGCGGCTTTCGGCTGCATTGCGAGATAGGGCGGGAGGAGAAGCAGGGGAAAAGGGGCGAAATGTTGCTTACAACGTGCCAAACGACGGGACTCAGGGAGAGCCTAGGAAAGACCCGCTTTCGAAATGAACTCCCGCCCTCGATTGTCAAGACACGAGAAAGCACCACGCGTGCTGCGTGCAGCGTGCAATATTGAATGAGCGCGCCAACGAAAAATAATTAATGATTCTTGGGTCCTGTGGGGTGGCTCCTGCCTTGATGATTGGGACCCGTGGAGAATTGAGGGATCGGGAAAAGCGCCCAGTGCGACGAGTGTGCAGGGTACAAGATCGAATCCCTGCTGCTTACCGCGACTAGCGGTATCGAGGACCTCGGCTGGTCTTGGTTCTGTCTCCCGTCGCTTTTTGGCATCTTCGATCGGCCCGCCTGTTGTTTAGCTGCGTTCAGCTGGTGAAGATACCTACGGTGCCGGCTCATCGATGAGAATGAATGCCAACGTCGAGTTGTCATGCCCCCAGTCAGCCGGCCTGTCGAACCACAACCTGCGCGTAAGGCTTCCGAGCGGCCCTTGGTGCAGCTGGCAACGACGCTGGAGTCGTTGAAATACGCAGTACACAACGCTTGCGCTGCACTGCACTCGGTTTGCAGGCGGGAGCATGTGGAACATTGCGACGCGGTTCGGCTTAGCGTCTTCCTGCTGCGCTCGGTGTAGGGGTGTTCCTAGATGGCCGCTGGAAGCTGATTTCCTGGTTTGGAGAGCTGCAAGCCTGCGAATCGACCGAGCTCATCTACGCCCATTCTTGAGCAGCGCTCTAGAAGCCTGCCTCAATCAGCACTGGCATGCCGTCCATAAAAGGAAAGTAGCTCATAGTTCTTTGACCTCAAGACAGACCGTCACGCGCGCGCCCGAGAGAGGTTGCTGCTCAGCGGCGACGGCACCGTGAAGCGCAGCATAGTACATTAGCCGAGTGAGAGATGACAACTCAAGCAACCGTGAAGTCTCGCAGGATCTCAATAGACTATTGACATCGATTGCTACCCCCCAAGGCTGGCCTCCTGTGAGTACTGGCCACAAAGACATCCGATGCGCGCCATGAGACGACTTTCATCATCTACCTAAGTTAGCAGTGCAAGGCCAACCTGACCAATCAGTGATTGGCGGAAATTGGCAATGGACTGGTATTGTGTGCGTGTATTACTCGACGGTGGGCTTCCATTCTCCTGGAAATCGATAGTGCTGGCCAGACCCAGCCGCGACTGGGACTTGGGGACTTCGATGTGGTTGTCCTGTCTCTCTTTCTCTCTGGACAGGTGGGTGTTCGTTCGTTCGCTTGCTCGGTCCAGGTGGATGCCCCACGCCGTCGCCGACCGAAATCAAACGACACGACACGGCGCGGGCATGGTAGTTGGGACAAGGGTCTGGTTGGTGGTTTGCTGGGAGGTGGATGGCAAAAAGACGCCGTCGCGCTGCGGCACAGCATACAGTGCTTCAGGCGCAGGCGTTCAATATGGGACGTGCTGTTGAGAACGTGGCCCCAGAGCGGAGACACACAGGGCAAGCTAAGGATGGATAGCGTGTGATTGCAGCGGCCACGGGTACGGAGCAAATGTCGTGAGCGTGGAGTCGAGGGTACTTTGTAGACTGTATCCGTCCATACTGCGGAGGATAGAAAGTACGAGCAGATATGTTACAGTCCCTGTCTGCTTGTTGATGGCTGCAACTCGAGACAAGAAAACACTGGGTCGATGCTGGTAGAGATTTCGGGGCTTCGGAGCGGATCTTGGAGGAGCACATGTTTGATGGGCAGACCGGGTTGTCAGGGCAGGCAAATGACAGGTCGAAGATGCGATTCTTTGCTCTGCTGCCGCGGCTATTGTACGGGTCCAAAGTGTTTCTTTGTACGAAGTCTAGTGGCACTGGAGCTTTGTGCCCGCCTCAAGTTGGAGAGCGGCGATTCCGTTGTGTATGTCTCGGAGTCGGAGAAGAGCGTATTAAGGTATTCGTGAGGTTGCACTGCGTTGCGCTGGGTCACGGACCTGAAGGCGGCAGCCGAGACAGGCGTGAGAACGAAAGCCGCGATTCTTTCCTGGAAGATGGATGGATCAACTGCCGTCGCAGACGTACGAGACAACGCGTGCTTATTCACACGTGGAGAGTATTCGGTAGGCATTCAGCTCGAGTTGGTTGACGACAAAGAGATCTCAAAGCAACGCCCCAAGATGGCCAAGAGTCGAGCGATGGGAAGAAAAGAAACGATGGCAGACAGGTTGAATCTTGATATGCGAGCTTTGACAAGGGCCGTCGTTCACCGGTCTGGCTCCCTGCTTGGGGCCTGGGGCAGGCCGCAGGGTGGTGGGATACGGCTGCTGGACATGGTCTCGTAATACATTGCTGTCCGTCGTCGTTCTTGACGAAAGGCGAAGTACGCGGCCATTGTTGAGTCTAGAATGCCGAGGTGCGAAGTCAAATCTCGGTACTAATCAAGCCTTTTTTCGACGTTGGATTGGAGTTGAAGAGGCTGACACGGGAAAGAAATCCAAGGAGGTCAAGACCAAGAACAAGGTGGGATGTCAGGCCTGACAAGGAAAGGCGTGCTGAAATTGACTTTTGTGCTCCCGAAGGAGAGATCTGGACGTTGCTCGATTCGTCCTGACAGCTTTGATGACAGCCTTTGGAGGACCAAGGACCTGGGGCAGATGGCTGGGCTTGCAAGGCTCGGCGGCGCGTGCTATGCTGGACGCGGCTTGGGCTGGGCTGAGCTGGGTCGGATTTACCGGTTTGCCGGGGGCCCATGACAAATGGAAGGTGATGGGGGATTGGGACGCGGAGGGCCGGTGCGTCGTGGTCGAAGCCGTCCATTCAGATTCAAGCCTGCCACGCTTTGGTCCATGACTTGAGAAGTTGTAACCTTGGACTCTTCGAGTGTCAAGACTCCAAAAGTCGATGTAAAAAAGAGTGCAGCTGCAGGCTGCAGCAGCGGGCGAGCCCCTCCCCTTCCCCTCCGCTCTCCCATGTTCCAATGTGCCCCCATGAAGTGTGGGACTGTGGAACGAAGCGGGGAGCAAGGGGGCCGAGATTGGTCCAAACCCATCCAACAGAGCAGAGAAATCGATACGGACGGGGACATGGAGACACAAGCGTGGTCCGGAACAGGGGATATACGTATCTTTACCTACCTGACTGGGCAGGCAGGAGCTGCGGGTTTGCACGAAGAAAGGCAAGTGTCCACGGGAGGAGCAAGGCAGTGGCAGGGTACGTATCCGCCACCTCGCAGTCAAGGTATGGTTCATCGTGCAACTCCGGGCTCACTCTCACTCATGGCGACATCAGGTCGGATACAAGGTACATTTTAACCCCCATGAGGTCGATGGCGTTTGAACACGCGATGAGAAGCTGGGCAACACGACAATCGGCCATGGGTCTACACTACGGGCTACGGATAATGTGGCTACCCAGTTGGCTGTCATTACCTTTTCCCAGGACTCGACTGATACTACATAGTCAGTAATTGCTCATGAGCATTTGCTGGAGGATCGAGAGTACCTCAGGTAGAGCGAGGCAAGAGTGGACGCTATTCCCTATAAGGAAGTTAACTCTAGATGTCTCCACACAGTGTACAGTGTCTCAGAGGGTACTTCGTCAGCTACCCGTACGGGTACCCGAGCGAGACGAGGAAAAAATGCAGGGTAAATGAGAGAATCAATGTTCAATGTATTGTGTGCCGGGCTGCAGTCTGCATGTAAGGTATCGCTCGCTCTGCCTACAGATGCATGCGGGCTAAGCTACTGGATTGATTCGCCTTTGCGACTTACCATGGAACTTACCGTCATAGCCCATCAGTAAGGTGAGAGCAGAGGCCACCAACATGTTTGGGAAAATGACATTCAAAGGGATGCCTCAAGACATGGCCAGATTATTTCCTTCACTAACAGCAGAGTCTCTATGAACACAATCTGCCAGGATCACGAGCAGGAGCTGCTTGCTCTTCCTGTTGCTTTCTTCTACCCCTGGCACATCACACGCGAGCATGCTGACTTGGTCCACTGGATCGGTTTCTTTGATCAAACGAACTCGGACTCCGGAGCGAGCAACAGAAGATGCGTGTTTGGTGTCAAGTCAGGGGGGACTTGGTCTGCTCCGTGGCCCGTTCATCATCGGGCCCGTTTCTTATCGAAAGTTGTTGTTCTGCAGCATCTCGCGGCAGTACGACTTCACACAAGACAAGCAAGCCCTAGGTACGCTGGGAAGCCACACAAGATGAAGAGGAGCGGTGGTGGCGGCGGCGGCGGCGGCAACACAGCATCGTGCAGAAAACGAATAATGTACTTCTCGGTCGTTGTCAACGATTTCCCTTCTCTTTCACGAAGCATCGCGACAGCAGACACCAGAACATGCGCACGGAGTAGCATGCAGCTTAGATGCCTCACGCCCAGCATCGGCGTCAGTCAGCAATGGAAATGCCAGAGTGAGAGTCAGATCCAGGTCCCGGAGAGAACTGGCGAGCGGTTGCCGATCGAAGAACGCCTCCCCTTACCCTACCGCTCCTTCCCTGCAATTCCCCAGTCATAGTAAGTCTGTGTCTCTATGTCGCACCCAGTTGAGCCCAGTTCAACCGGATCTTTTCCGTGCACGTGACGATCCGATCCTCCACCCCGGTCTAACACTTGTCAGAGAAAACGGTGGCTCTAGCTTCGCCTGATTCACTCACCACTTGCCTGCGGCCTGCCTGCTTTCCAGACTCCAGACTCCAGACTCCAGTATCCTCTTTCCCTTCCTGCACCGTGTATGTTCGTGGTTTCCGAGGCTTCGACCGACCTTGCCTGCTCCACACCACCAAACCGCTCTGCCCGATGCACTCGGGGAGTCGGGGCTGCAACTGACACGGCGTTTCGTTTCGTTCGACAAATTATCTGACCTCAACCGTCTTTCCTACCGACCTGTTGGCGCTTGTCGCTCAAGTCCGGCTCTACCCTCTTCTTTGTACTCTCGCAAGCGGATAACCCGTACGTACTCGTTCGCATCCCGCCAGACTTGTCCGCAGGACGTTAGAGACCGTGCGTGTGTGATGAGTTCGTGGCGCCTCGAACCGCGGTTCACACCCTCAACAACCTGGGGCACATGGGATCACTGCCGCTTTCGGTCTCCGCGCAATACGACGGGATGGTTCGCAAGAGTCGCGTTCAACGGGGCAAGCGATACAGTCCAGCCTTGCGCTCGGTCGATGCTCTGAGCCCAAGTCAAGTTCGTTTCCGAATCCAGTGTACCTAAATGGGCGCGACTTTTATTGGTGTCGCTCGGAAGTCAACGGCTTGACGTAAATTGTATTTTGAGGGGTCGCACTCAAGTCTTTCAAGCCTGTTAGTCTGCGTAGACCAGATCTCGCAGCATTCCTCGGCCAAGGAATGGCTCTTGGTCTCTAGACTATCAAGCGCCAAATTCGGGAGGTAGCAGGCGGCTTCCATGGCGGATTCTCGTTTTCCCGCCTGGCAGTCGATGCAAGAGGAAGTCGTCCAGAAGCAGAAGCTATTCGACGGCATGCCATCTCGCCGGTACCCCGGCCATAGATGGGACGGTAGCTTCGTAACGGCATGCTGACCATGTTGTGCCTAGGCTCCTACGATTCGCCGTTCCATGTACAAAACGGCTTGAGCCAACAGTTCCCGGTTGAAGCAAATGCAATGGGAATTGGATTCCCATGTGATATTTCCAAGCAGTCAAGTGAATTGGAAAATGAAGGGGACTAAACTGATAGCACTGAAGAAAAGTGCCAGTGCAGTTTCCGGAGGCTTCACCGTTGTTGTTTCCCATCTAGAAGGACAACATCCTTTCTACTTCGTTTCCAGAGTATTCCTCCATGATTGCAACGCAAACACGGCTGAGAGCTCCACGGGGGTAGTGAAAACGATAATGCCTATAATGCATATCTTATCCAGCCGCAATACGACATCGTCAGAATTTCATGGGCGTGCTAGACGTGTTGGGCTGCCAAAGCTAGGCGACAAGAGTTTCGAGGGCATTTACTACTAGACCGGATACTAGGCATGGGTTCCGTATTGCTCTCGAATTCGACTCTGGAGCTCGACAAATCCAAGCGGCCGATGAGCCCCGCGAAGCATCGCCATCCACTGACCATTGGATGATTTCTGCCCAGCAATGACGCTCTCGATGTCGTTGATTGCACAGCGTCCAATTCCAAAATGGTTAGTGGCCGATCTCACGAGCCCGGAATTCAGCGTTTATCGGCCGAACCACGTTCTTCGGCTCTAGCAAGTTCAAGCTTGGTATTCTGCCCTGTCCAACGTCTTTTGACTCCAAGGCTAGACGTCTTTGGGAAGTAGAGGGGAAGAGCTAGTAAAGTGTGTGCACTGTCGTCCTCGAGAGCTTGCTACTAGCGAGGATGCCCCAAAATAGGGATGTCAGCAAGGATATGCTATTTTTCTTTCTTTTCAAGAATGCCATGCTGCTTGTAAGGAACAACCGACTCGGACAGTCCTCCTCATTACAGTCCATGGGTATGAACGACTGTTCGGCGAAATTACCGCGGTATCTAGACCAACCTTCGCAGGAACGACGAAGTGGGATTGCAATTCTGGGCATCTAGATCGCTGCCACCATCATACATAGCCCACATCACGAAGCACGTCCTGTCACCCCGGCTGTCTAGGGACGAACAGCGCCCGCTCCACAAAGCTTCCTTCCTGCTCCAGCCTCCGAGCTTCAGCAGCCCCTCTCTCCTCTGAGTTCCCGCCCGCCCCGGTGTGATAAGAGAGATCCTGCTCAAGCTGCACCATATCACAAAGCCTTGGCTCGGCCTTCGCCTTCCGGCTTGCGGAGGTAAAATTGCCGCGAAGAAGTGAAAAGGCCGGCTGGTTCCACGTCCACGTCCATGTTCTACGTGCTGACAAACGTGGTTTTCCTGGTTGGAAGGGGAGCTTTTTTGGCTTTCAGGGGAGAGGGGCCGGCCCACGGTTGGTGCTGGGACTAGAGGAAGACGCGTTTCTTTCGTGAAGTTGCTTAAACGCGCTTCGCGTCGCGCCGGGATTTTTTACAGCAAAGCCCAAGCCGATCTGAGGATAGTCTGTCTGAACGTGGATTATCTACTAGATGAAGCCGTTGTAGAAGTAATGGTAAGAACTTGCGAGGCAGAAGAGGCATTGAATTTGGGGAGTCGCTTTATTGGTCTTGTCTTGCGGCCACTTTGGGGGGAAATATCGAGTCAATCATTTCGGAATTGCCATTTTGCTCAGACACATAAATGCCTTTGAGCTACCCTCTCTTGTTGTCATTACAGTCAGTCACCTTAGCTCTCACCAGTCTTGCCAAACTCATCCTACTTGCAGTGACAGTCTACTTCGGATTCGAGACCAGGCAGACTGTGATGAAGATTTGACTCGGGGCAGCAACACACCCTCCCCTCCCAATTGCCCCAGAATGCTACAATGTCATCGGTGTCTCTCAGAAACCCATGAGAAGTGCGATCCAGACTCCAGGGGGGGCGACATGGTATTCTCGAGCCAGATCTCCCCGGACTGACGCCCCTCGTTCCCGGCGTCGGTCTTTGAGTTTGACCTAGTTCCGCCTCGGATCCAACGTCAAATCCGAGGAACACCGCGGATCGCGTGTGCCGGGGACAGGAGAGACTTCGCCACGCGGTATGCTGTTTGACTTTTCCATGGTGTGATGTCGCTGGATGTATGTTGTCGACTATCATTTTTCTTTGTCTTTGTTGCCCTTTTTCTCTGGTTGAGAGAGGTGCCCTCTGGCGGACTCGATATAGTTCAATCTCGCTCGGGACGAACCGTTCGTACATGTATGCATTCAGCTGTCGGCCTTACACACATCCTTGACTGGAGCCAAGTCGGGTGGGATAACCCGCAGTCTAGGGATTTGAAACAAGTGCGCGTGGGAAGACTTAGTAATACTACGATACGACTTGTGGTATTTGGCGCTCCAATGAGAATTTCCCTTTCATCTACCGGAAGATCCTGAGTTTACATATTCAAGTGGGAATAAAGTCAAATCTCGAACCTTCTTGGTAACCTTATTTGAGTGCCATCGACCTATCCCCCATATGTGGTGCGAAGAACAAGGTAATCCTAAGCGGCGAGTGATTCCGATTACAGCTCATGAGAGTTGAGCATTATGATTTATACGAAAACTGTTTACTCAAAGGCTGTGGGTGATGTGTCGATTTGCTTGGCCAATATTCTGAGGGCTGCCAGCCTTCGGATTCTCTCGTGTACAGTCTCTCGTCGAGTCTAACAGTATGGCAGAGACGTGTCAGAGCAGCTCCCAGCAATGAACTTCTGGTCGACCTTGGGCTTATCTGCTTCAAAGAGTTGCGCCGATGGATCAAGAACACGATTGATGATATGAACGACGCCCTAGGACCCAAACTCCCATTAGCACGATTGGTTCCGAACAGTTCGAATCGACATAAGTTGGAGATCTTGTTTCTTTTTGCAAAAAAAAAACAGAACGCACATTGGTAACCCTCAAATCTCCCTCCGTCACCGCCGCAACATCGTTCAACCACACCTGTCCATCCTTGACCTGCATGCCAACGTACAAGTACGACCCCGTCTGGATCCTAGTCGCAGTCTCGTTGAAGACACTCGTGAGAAGCTGCGAATTGGGCACGTAGTGGTGCTGCACCAGATTGCCGAGCCACCACTTACCCTTTGGCGTCGGCAAAAAGGTGTTGAAATACTGTCCCGTGTTTTTCTCAAAGGCGGCGTTCGAGGGCGCGAAGAAGGTGAAGTTCCAGGTGGGGACGGTGTCGAACGCTTCCGTGAAGCCCGCGGATCCGTCGAGAACCTCGGCGAGCGTTGTCAGGTCGCTCCTAGATTTGACAAAGTCTAGGAGCGTTGTCGTGTCGGAGGTCTTTGGGGGCACGTAGGTACCCGCCGGTTTGGATATGTAAGAGAGCGGTTTCCTCTCTGCGGCGGTCACCGCTGATATCGTTCCGAGAGTGAAGATTCTCAACAAATTGATAAGCTTCATGTTTTATGTGAATAACAAGGTTTGTCAAAGTAGTGTCGGGAGGAAAAGAAGTAAGATTCAACGACATGAGAAGTGGCAGTCTTTTACCGGCAGATTCACATGGACCAATATACCATGCTAAGTGGACCACAACACTCGTTGTATTCAATTCATTCCAAGTTCACCGCGACTAACCAATGGTCACCGGGTCAGTCTCCCGGGCCGGATCCATGCCCCGATAGTTGTCCCGGAATGCGGGGAACACGATGGAAAGATGATCCCCCGCAGATCGGGTCTTTCCCGGACGGGAAAGCTGCAGCGGAAATATCCTCCGGATGAAGTCGTATCTCTCTAGATGACAAGAGTTCATCATTTTCTCGAAAGGCCCCTGAGCTGAGTGTAGACCTTGGTTTAAAAGGGAGACATAGCTTCCATGGCGTCTTGATTCAGTCAACGTGCATGGATCCCATACTTCCCTACGAGAGTCCACACCATGCGATTTTTGACGTTCCTCGCTATCTTTACCGCAGTTCCCTCTACCCTAGGGGCCAGCAAGCCACAAATGGGTGAGAAAATCACCCGTCTCATAGAACTTGCAATCCAAAACTCAAAGTCAATGTCCTACTCACTTACATGTCCTTCGTTCCGAATTAGGTTGGAACTCGTGGAACACGTTCAAGCAGAATATCAACCAAACCCTGATTGAGGACACAGCAACAGCAATGGTAGAAAAGGGCCTAGCAAAGGCGGGATACAGCTACGTCGTCATGGATGAGGGCTGGCAGGCTCTCGAACGAGACGTCGAGGGCCGGCAGCAGCATAATGCTACCCGCTTCCCGTCTGGTATCTCGACACTCGCGGAGCACGTTCATACCCTAGGCCTCAAGATTGGTCTCTACAGGTACTGTTCTTACTTCCATGGATGCTTCTCATTCTGCCTCCCTCTTCTGCTTCTTTCCACTGGAAGAGGTCGAGCTGAAGAGCAGAAGGCGACTCGCGAAAACGAATGCTAACGAAAACCTAGTGACTCGGGAATCTTTGGCTGCGGCTTTACACCCGGCTCCTGGGGCTACGAAGAGCTCGATGCCCAAACCTACGCCGCCTGGGGCATAGACTATCTAAAGTACGACAACTGCGGCGGCTTCCACGCGGGTACGCACACCCAGCAGGAACGCTTCCAGACAATGTCGTCCGCCCTCCAAGCAACCGGTCACAAAATACTCTACAGTCTATGCCAGTGGGGCCACCAGTTCCCCTGGTACTGGGCGGACCAGGTCGGCGCTGCCTCATACCGTATGTCTGGCGACATTCACGCGCGGTTCGCGGAGGACAAGGCCAATATCTGCAAGACGGCGTACTGTCTTAACACCGGGTACGCCGGGGTGAGCGTGCTGACTATGATCCGGAAGATGAGAGAGATCTCGCCGTTCCAGGCAAAGGAGAGGGGTAGTTGGGCGGACATGGATATGTTGGAAGTAGGAGTCGGGTATAATCTCAGCGGAAAGATCGTGTACATGTCCGAGGTGGAGGAGCAGACGCACTTTTCGTTTTGGGCGGCGCTCAAGTCACCTCTCATCATCGGTGCCGACATCACGAAGATTCGGGATTCATCGTTAAGGATTCTACTCAATGAGGACATCATCGCCATCTCTCAGGATGAGAGGGGCGAAGCTGTGAAGTACTTGCCTAGGTTGTCGAGGGAGAACGAGGTGCAGGTATGGGGAGGCGCCATCGAGACGGGAGCGTACCGATACGTTGTCCTCGCCTTGAACTATGGGAGGAACAAGACGAGCATCGAGGTGCCGTGGAAGGAGGTTGAAGGGTTGGAGGAGTGTCCCGGTGGAGGTTTGAAAGTGAAGGATGTATGGGCTGATGGTGATTCGGGGATCGTCAAGGAGAAGATCACTTTGGAAGGGGTGGCGGTTGGGCAGACCAAGGTTCTCTTGCTATCTTGCTAGATATGCAGGAGGGTATCCTGGTAATTACATATCCGGCAGAGCTGCAACCAGTCCAAAATGAGCATCTGTGAGCCAACTCGTAGTTTAAACAATTAGATGGAGGTCTTCGGATGGGGCTTCATAGAAAAGAACAGAGTGTAAGTTTCTCATGTGTGTCTAGCCTTATTGATGCTTGTTTCATCTCTATATCTCGCTTGGACCGGATTGTCTTGAACTTGATAAAATCTAAGGCTTACAAGAAACAAACCAATCTCGAAGGTTGATGGAAAGAGGCGTGATCACAGACGGGTGAAAAAAAATCAGATTGAACTTGGTGACTGTATTAATCTCATGGTAGTAAGTCCCAGCCATGATCTTTGGTCTCCATGGAGAAAGCCTCAGTGATCGGCTTCCAACATGTTTGGGGAGCTAGAGGCCGAGGAAACGGCTATAGGACTGGCATCAGCGGCAAGCCTCAGTGTCTATTTCGTGGAACATTACACTAGTCTTTGTGTAATCCAATAGATTGATCCTTCCAAGCGAGGTCCTCGTTCATCCTTGCATCCCGGGTGGCTCGGCACTCTCAACTCTCCTATACCGGAGTGCGGAGCAAGTTCCGGACAATCCTCCGGCATCATCAACACAACGCAGAACATCCCACCAAGCACAACAAACCGCTTTTCATCAATAGGTTATGCGGCCCGAAAGCTCCACCGGCGGGAGCCGATGGGTGGTCTGTCAACTTGCGAGCCCATATTTCTATTGGGAAGGTTTGTCCGCGGGGACGTATCCCATGACTAAGGCGTTGTGTCTCTTGGCCGTAATTCCCATGGAGCCAGAGGTCTGGGAGGCGAATAGGATGAATAGGAAATTGATTACTTGAATGCGGTGCCCCAAAAGATGAGTTCCTAGTGAGTACGTTCCATCAGTCTCTTATGTCCTTTGAGAAAGCGGGCACTACAACTTGCTATCGATTACTCCAAGCCTGCCCACTTCGAAAGGAATCACAGGACAGAGAAACTTCAACCAAGTCAGAACTAGCAACATGACTCCTGAAGCCATCATGACAGAGAAAGTTCCAGTCACGAACAGCCTCAATAAGAGGTTAGTTGACGATGGCACGGACTTCAAGATGGGCGGCAACGCTTGTGTAAGTAAAATCGTGCTCTTAACGCCCTCATCACTATCGTCACCACCGCGGCCCCTCCATGCTAACGCAAAGTGTTTTCACCTCAACAACAGAAGCGCAGCAAACACGGCCAGGAGAATATAGAAACAGTAGCCGGTCTCACGACTCCTCCGTTCTCTTCAGCAGAGATCATCAAGCAGGGAGAAAAGTCTCTGACGGCCTCGCTCTTCTCCCCCAAGGTCACAGCCAAGATCTGGGGCGTGGCAAAACAAAGCTTCTCATCGGTATGAGCAACTCCCCTATGAGCTGCCGTAAGAATAGAAAGCTCCTTCATCTGCTAACAAATATTTTTTTCGGTGCGAAGTCTTCGCCACCAACCCTTTTCCCAGAGTACACCAAACCAGGCGGCACAAAGTACGTCTACCGCGAACTGGACTTTTGGACCTCGGGCTTCTTCCCCGGGTGTCTCTATCTCCTCCTCGAGCGAAGGCGTAGGCATCCCCATCTCTTGAAACGGCTAGGCTGGTCAGCAGAGGATGAGCCCAACTTACTACATCTCGAGTAACTCCCCCAGATGCCAATATTCCAAAACTTCAATCGACTGACCCGTGCACCAAGGTTCGCCTGTAAGTGGTGGACAGAAACCCTCCACCCCAACGCAGAGCTCAAGACGACGCATGACCTGGGCTTCATGATCTTTCCCTGGGCACGACCCGCGTGGGAGCTTTCGGGTGACCGCAGATCCTTCGAGACGGCTTTAACGGCAGCTAGGTCGCTGTATAGCCGATTTGACGCCACCGTGGGATCCATCCGGTCGTGGGACATCTGTGTAACGAAGCGATACAAGTTCCTGGACCCGAGTAAAGACTTTCTCGTGATCATTGTAAGCACCACCTCGCGACTACAGCCAACACTCTGTGAATTGTATTATTAAACGGAAGCCAGGACAACATGATGAACCTCGATGTGATCTTCTGGGCTGCTTCCCAGCTTGGAGACGATGACATGTGGAACGCGGCTGTCAAGCACGCCGAAACGACGAGGGAGCACCACATTCGCCCGGACTCTTCCACCTTCCACGTTGTCAACTTTGACCAGGCGACCGGCGTGCCAAAGGAAAAGATTACAAATCAGGGACATTCTGACACATCCTCATGGTCGAGGGGACAGGCGTGGGCTGTCGCCGGATTCGCGCAGACTTATGGCTGGACACGGGACAAATCTTTCCTCGATACAGCCATCTCGTGTGCGGACTATTTCCTTGAGCAGCTCCCTTCGAGCGGGATCCCGCCGTGGGACTTTGCTGCGCCCAAAGACATGGCACAACCTCCGGATATCAGTGCCTCCATGATTGCGGCGTATGGCATGTTGCTCATTCACGAGGCTCTGACGGCGCTTGGAAGGCCATCAACGTATCTGAAAAGCGCCATCGGTCTCACTCGCGCTACCTGTAACAACCACATCAATAGTGGCGGATTCTATGTGAAGTCTCAAAGGTCGATCGATACGGTCGAGCACGGCACGGTGGTTGAAGAAGTAGGTTGGGATGTGGAAATGGGGGATGAGCCGGAGACCATATTGAATGGGGCAACCATCAACAACTACGAATTTGCGCCGCGAAGGTGGGCAAACCACGGACTGGTGTATGCTGACTACTTCTTTCTGCTGGTGGGGAACAAGCTTCTGGAAATGGGCGTCCCAGAGTTGTTTGACGAGAACCGGTCTTGAGCATTTGAATGCGGAGAATGACTGAAGTGTATTTAGAGAGTCTTGTCTGATAAATTATTCGTAAATGATGTAAATATGCATCTTTAAGTCTGAGCTTATAGAGCCAATGGATTGTGTTTATCGCCATCATTCGCCTGCAGATGCGTTAACTACTCTTTGTCCGAGAACATACTAATTCGCTGGTTCGGCAAGAAGGAGTAGTCCAAGTAAGCGTTGAGATCCTCAAAATCTCCAACTGGGTGGTGTATGTTGTCATGGTTATTTACAACGCCGACGTCGAAGTGATCGTATTCATTCGCGTGGCTTGGCATTATCGCACCGCCAGGCACTGGTGACGGCATGGCCGTCGGGCCTCTGCTCGCACTTTGCGCATGGAACGCTATCGGAAGCGGAGGAAATGCCAGAGATATACTGTCAGGGGATGCCTCTTGTTCAAAGTCCATGGTAGAAGTTCCAAGGCCGCCGACAAAGGACTCTTGGCCGGTGCCTTGACTCGGCGAGAATGCAATATTTCGATGATTCGATCTAACACGAGACACCCTAGGAGTCCTTGGGTTATCTCTAGTCGGCAGGGAGATTGCGTCTGGACGGGCATCATCCGAGTAGACTGCCTGCCGTATGTCGAGCATTCCCCTGCCCTGATGCCGCGCTTGAACCAGCCGGCCAGCGAATTTGGATGCTAGGTTGTCGGACACATCGCCAAGACCGTTCCATCTTTGAGCTATAACGTTAAGACTGTTTACTAGTGAATCAAAGCCATCCGGAAGAGCAACGTTGTAGTAGGATGAATGGGCCAGAAACATTCGTCCACAGATGAAGAGGCAAAACGCGAATTGTGGGCTGATGACTTGCCGCGAATCTTGTAGAAATTTCTCGGCAATGATAGCCACCTCTGTTGCGGCAGCCATGCACGTTTCGGCACTAGATGCTGAAGGTAGTCGTATTCCAGTAGCTTGCCATTCGGGCAACGGATAGGCGACGCCCTGATGAAGCAGCACTACGCTCGAATTGTGCGTCAGGTGAGCGAGAGTGAGATTGGGGTCCATGATGCCGTCCACGTTGAGAACGCATGCCTCCCGCCACTGTTCGGGAAGGAATATTTTCCACCTGTAGGGTGTCAGTGTCTCTCTCGAAATCAATGATTACTGGAAGACTCACTGTACGAGACGCAAGTCAAGTTGTTTGAACTTCATCAACCAGACTTGTATCTCGTGTGACTTGGAGACATCAATAGCTTGCTGAAGAAAGAAGGACGTCACCAGACTAAGACTCTCGGTGGCTTCGATGCAATACGCAAAACCTCCGAGTGAATCCTGAGCTGCCTCTTCTAAACGCGCGGTAGGAAGGGTTCCACTGGAACCGCTGGACTGATCAGCTACACCGAAATATGGTGTTGGGGTTTGGAGCGGTTCTCCATTCTCCCAAAGCGCCCCTTCGCAGGGTAGACGTCGTTTCACGTCCGCGCTGGTGAGAGAAAAGTTCCAACCTGTTGCGACACTGCAGAACCTGTCCATCAGAAAGATATTCCAGAAAACTCGACGCCTCTCTTCTTGTTCGCTCCAGCTTCGACATAGCGGCAGGAATGCCATACGCTTCACGAGATGATTCGCAGCCGGTGGTTGGTCTTCGTCTTCGACACTGAGCTGTAGCTGCTCAACTGTTCGGGTCATGCTACCAACGATAGACTAGAAACACGTAAGTATGGACCAAATCTGAGGCGACGTGCCACTAACCCAAGCGGATGGACCTCTGCCACTGCCGATCTGTGTTCATTGATCAGCTAAGTTATTTGAACTTAACTTGAATACATATTCGGGACTATACTCACGGTGTCAAAAGCAATTATTGTCAGAGCTTGAAGATTCTCCACTGAGAAGGACTCCATGCTGTTCAGTATCGCAAATTGCCGACATCTTCGTGCCCTGCGTGTCTTTTCCTCATGCAGTCCTAGGCGGGGATCTTGGGAGAACCTTGCGCACAAAGAAACTATGGCATGAAAGATGGTGTTGAGATGGGGACGTTGGGCTGGGTCCTGCATCCTCTCCCGAAATTGGCGCACGTGAAGCATAGGAATCCAGGGGTGAATATTGGAAAAGTAAATATCGACAAGAGCGTCCATGAGGTCCAGCTCTGGCAGTAGGTCTGCTTCGGTCATGGGATCGAAATTGAGACTTGTTCGCGCTGGCTTTTCCGTCGCCTTTCCCGGAGTGGCAGTGTCTTTCGTCGGAATGGTTGCAAGTGTTGTCAACGCAGGCTCTCCACCTTCGGCCAGGGTTGCGAGAGTGTTTTTGAGCGCAGTCGTTCTCTCGTTGAGCGACACATTCGAAGAGTCGTCTTGGCTCGGACTGGGGGCATTACGGCTGGCTGCCGAATTCAAGCAGTTGAAGACCTGTTGCCACAGGACTCCTTGACCTAGGAACATGTTTTCGAGCGTGGCTTTAAGCAGATATCAGCTTCATGATAACATTTTCAAAGACTCGCCAGACGCATACCGACTCTCTGGCTGAGGTTCTCAACGGCACCAGTGCGCAGTCCCGGTTTTGATCTTCTGTCATCGTATACACATTCTACATCTGGATATGGAATTAGGTAAGCTCCTCATTGGCGTCAGAGCAGAGACTGACTGTATCGTACACATGCCGAGCAAGGCTGCCGCCTTGAGCATCTAGCCTTCTTCTTTCGACAGGATTGACAGCTTAAGACGTCGTATCAGCAAGAATTGGTCGATTGCGCCGTGGTCAATTCGGGAAGTATCTCACGCGGGGCCTTCAGTATCCACGCCATTCGCTTGCGCACTTGAGTTTGTCCGCCTCTTCTTGGGTCGGGGCTGGCTGTCTTCCTCGCCGCCTGAGCGACCGGACAGCACCTCGTCGTCGTCTTCGAAGACCATCGCGCATACAGGAACTGCAGAAGGAAAAAAGAGTCAAGAATGAGGAGGGAAATTGAAGGATGCAACGACGGGAATTTCCTTCCCTCACATTCTTTTCCAGATCATGGCAGGAGCTATCTAATTGATTCGTCCATCTCCCGTCACTATCCAAACCAAGCGAAGACGCCGCTGTCGCAAGCCACTTTTGGGGATCATGTCGGGGTAAGACCTGAATGTGGAGAAGGTGCATGCGGGGAAGAACTAGGCATCCCTCACAATAACATGCCACTGGACCGCTAAAAGAAGCCACTATGGAGGGGATCCTTGACTTACGAGCCTGTTGATCGTCGCTGTAACCGTTACTTTTCCTCGTCTGAACGCTTCTGAGACTGTAATACTACAGCCGTAGAGGCCGGATGAACGACTTGACCATGAGCATTTGAGGGTTTGAAAGAGACATCATATCCTTAGATCTTGACTCTAGCTTCACATGGCATGAATTGTCCTTATTCAGATCAAATTTTCTCACTTGATGCTCATGGTAGTAACAGCAATTGGCCGGGAGTTAACATAGGCGCGAGGTACGGAAGATGCCTCCTTAAAAAGACGGATAAGCAAGTAATCTCGACAACCTCGGATAGTCAAAATGACAAGAGGAGGCCGGGGAGCTTAGCGTAACCCCGAATCTTGATCTGTCTAGTCTCAACCAGAGCCTTCTGCCGTTACACTAATGCATAGCAACGCCCCCGGTCTCTGAACTGACGATCTGCCCACCAACCCCAGCTCCGGGCGCGGGCGAGGTCCCGGAGACTGCCCCGAGCAGACATTCCGCCCGCAACATTTGCCCCGGATCACCATCAGTCCACGTTTTTGTTCCCTAGGAGCGTCTCTGACTCCGTCGTTCCGGGCTCGTGAAAGCTGGGGTCCCCAGAGTTTCAATATTGGTTGCATATAGAGGCTTACGATCCAGGGAAATCCGGGGTAAGCCAATATCAAGCAGCCTCAGTTACAATAGGTCTGAAGAAGAACAACTCCATTGCACTGCAGCAACCTGAGCGCCGTACATCATGAAGCAGGGTCATACCGACAAGGAAACTGGCGACAATGCCATCGCGCCGGCACCTTCTCATGTGGCTTATGAGCACCAGGAGGGAGACAAGTCGGTGAGTTTACTCCTTCAGTATCGCAGAACCATGGCTCAGTCGTAGAAGAGGAGGGTTGAAGGTGACGTAGGGGTTGGGGAGCTTTCGACTACCATGCATTTCATATGGAGATAGCATTCGGCTAATACACCCCACAGGCCAACGGATATGCTGATGCTCAAGCGATCTATGTTGACGACAAGACAAGCAAGGAGCTTTTCTGGACAGTTAACAGACGAATCCTGGCTTGTATGCTGGGCACATACTTCTGCCAGTCCCTCGACAAAGGCACCCTTGGCTTTGCCTCCATCATGAACATCAAACAAGATGCCAACCTCGTGGGCCAACAGTTCAGGTAAAACAATACCTTCTATCCGTAACCGGGAAGAGAAGGTTTCGAAGAGCAACAGCTTACTTTCTGTTAACTAGCTGGCTCGGAACCATTCTGTATATGGGTGTTCTCGTTGGAGAGTACCCGACCAATTTGCTTCTGCAGAAACTCCCCGTCGCAAAATATCTCGCCGCCAATGTTTTCTGCTGGGGCATTGTAATTGCATGCTCGGCTGCCGCCAAGAACTTCACAGCCTTGATGATTGTCAGATTCCTGCTCGGAGTATTTGAGTCTTGCGTTCAGCCGGCTTTCATCATCATGTTTGTCAACCCTAGCCGCCTGAATGGTAGACAATCCTGCTGACACAAAACTTATAGGACTTCAATGTGGGTATGTAGTTACCCTGTCTCTAGCTCCAGTATTCCTCCTGTCTTGCTAACAAAGAAACTGCAATTTAGTACACAAAAAGAGAACAGTCAATTCTGACTTCCCTGTGGTACTGTATGAGCGGAGTCCAACTAATGGCACGTCTACATCCTTCCAAAGGCCTGAAGCCTCCACAACACTCGACTAACACAAGCAACGTAGATCGGTGGCATCATCGCCTGGGGGGCCTCTCACTACAATGGTCATGAGATCAAGTCATGGCAGCTTTTGT